CTAAAAACCACAGGAATGTTGTAATCCCTGACACAGTTGATAGCATCTGGGCCTTACAGAACTTCCTGCAATTTCCTTGAAGTTAAGCGTTTCTTAAAGAACAGCACATTTTATTACAGATAGCTGGATGAGGGGTAGGGGAGGGGGTTACAGGAAACTGATACCTAAGGCTTTTACAGCTTTCTCAGAAAATTGAAACTTAACCTAGAAAGAGAGGAAGGGAAAGTGGGGGCAGTGGGGCACATACAGAACAGAAATGAGGTGCAATGGTTAGAGCTAGGCTATAACAAGGATCACTGCAAGTGACAGGCCAGCTTGAGCTATGTCGTGAGTTCAAGGCCAGCCTGAACTACATATCAAGGCACTGTCTCAAAAAAAGAAAACAAAACTCACAAAAATAGGAAGAGTCCCAAGAGCTATTAGTAGAATCAATGGTAGATGGAGCCTAAATGGCCATCAGCACACTGGAGGCCCCAGTAGGTCATGATAAGATTATATTGCATCCAAAAGATGAGAAGTATAAGACAAAAGAGGCCTTTATTCTGAGAATGTGGAGAGAGAAAACAAAAAACCTCCAACCACTGGAGTCTCGCTTTCTCTCTGGCGGACACGTGGAGTGGGGGCATATAAGTAGCCTAGGTTTGGAGTGGAAGCTAAGGGGCATTAGTGATACACAGGTAGCCCATTGGCACTCATTTGGCACCAGAGGTAAATTCCTAGGGGTGGGGAAGATGGAGCTCCTTGGTTCTGCCTGAGGCTTTACTGGCTATAGTGTCCTGTCTGGGCCAAAACTCTTTCAGGTCAAAGGTTCAGAAGCTCACTGTAGTCACTGGTGTGAGCCTGTGTTCAGAAAACCAGAGCCTTCTTATGAATTTAAGAGCAATTAGACAAGAAAAAAAAAAGGAATAAGGATAGGCAAGGAAGAAGATAAATTATCATTATTTGCAGATGATATGATACTCTACATAGGAAGACTTTCAAAACTCCATTGAAAGACTTCTAGATATAATCACCAAATTCAGTAATGTAACTGGATACAAAGTCAGTACTCAAAAATCAATAGCATTCTTGTACACAAACAACAAATTCACTGAGAGAGAAATCAAGGAAACCACACCCTTCACTATAGCATCCGAAAAAATGAAATACTTAGGAATCAATGTACCAAAGGAAGTAAAAGATCTATACATTGAAAATTACTCTGAAAAAGGAAATCAAAGATAATTTCAGAAAATGGAAAAACATTCCCTGTTCATGGATAGGAAGACCATTGTGAAAATGGCCATTCTCCCAAAACTGTTATACATATTTAATGCAATTCCAATAAAAATACCATTTCCATATCTCACAGATCTAGAAAAATCAGTCCTAAAATTCATCTGGAACCAGAAGAGACCTAGAATAACAAAGGCAATTCTGAGCAACAAAAGCAAGGCAGGAGGCAACACAATTCCCAACTTGAAATTATATTACAAAACTACTGTGATAAAATCACCATGGTCCTGGAATACAAACAGACCTGGAGATCAATGGAATAGATTAGAAGATACAACCACAACTACAAACACACTCAGCTACCACATCTTTGACAAAGGAGCCAAACATGTTTCATGGAAGAAAGATAACCTCTTAATAAGTGGTGCTGGAAAAACTGGCTCTCCATATGCCAAAAACTAAAACTAGACCCATGCCTATCACCATGCGCTAAACTAAAGTCAAAATGAATCAAAGATCTAAATATTAAAACAGAAACAGTAAATCTGCTGGAAGACAAAGAAGGTAGAAATCTTAAAGACATAGGGGTAGGCAGAAAGTTCATGAACAAAAATAAAACTGCATGGAAAATACTTTCCAGAATCAACAACTAGAATCTTATCTTATTAAAAAGGTTTTGCATGTCAAAAAATCTCCAGCACAGTGAAAAGAAAACCCATGAATTTGGAAAATATCTTAGCCAACTGTCCCTCAGACAAAGGACTTTTATCTAGAATATATAAAGAATTTTTAAAAAATCAGGCCTCAAAAATTCAAGGACTCAATGCAAAAATGGACATCTGAGATGGACACACACTTTTCAAATGAAGAACACAAATGGCAAATATATGTATGAAAAATGTTCAACATCAACAGTTGTTCGGGAAATGCAAATTAAAACAACACCGAGATTGCATCTCACTTGAGTTCATTCAGAGGAGTTATGTTAACGTGATACATGATTAAATTGGCTTGTTGCATTTCATTTCCCTTTTTATTTTACTATATATTATAGTTATGCAAAATATTTATGTTTCCAAAGTTTTAAAAAAAGATCCTATTTGCCTAGCACAAATATTTGCTGACTCTTATGAGATGTATGTGATTATTCATCCTGGGGCTGGTCCCTGCAAGAAAACTAAAGGTACGTTAAGGAGTATGATTTGCTTTAAATTCATTTTTTTTTTCATTTTTTTTTTTTTTTGTCTTTTTCCTTTTTATTGGTACCGGGGATTGAACTCACGACTGCCTGCTTGCAAGGCAGGCGCTTATGCCGCTGAGCTAAATCCCCAGCCCCTTAAAGTCATCTTGATTGGATACTTTAGGGTAATTTGCATAGGAAATTTTAAAAAGGCAGATTTCAAGATCTCAAATCTAAGTGCCCTTGTGTCACCCAGCAAACCTCATCCTGACTTGGTGAGTGCTGAGGGTGATGGACAGAGGATGAAGAAGGCAGAGCCCCTTGTCTCCAATTCCACCCAAGAAAAGTCTCCCTTTCTTAAGATTTTTCTCTTCCTTGGGTCCCTGCCCTGTAGAATTTTTTCTTCTTCTTCCTGGTCTTCCCTTCAGATGTTAAGAGTCCTTGGTGAATGTTGTAGCACATATAACATCACTGTAGCCCACAGGTAATGACCAGAATTACATCACCGCCGCCTGTACAACATCCTGCAGTGTACCTCACTTTCAAGGTTAATTCTACCTCTGGCTATGAAACTTCTACAAAACAAGATGGCAAAGAAAATAGCCTGGCCATTATAAAATGTATTCACTTGTTTCTTTACTACAAAGTTTCTATGTTAAATTTTGTAATCTTGTAGGAAGATATTTGGAGATTATTCAAATATCTTGTTTGTCATAATATTTAACCCACTAATTTTAGCCTCTATCGATAATCCTTGCCGGCAACAGTGGCTGTGGAAAGGATAAATCTGAATCATTTGTAAGAAAATGGGTGCGCTTTGAAACCATAATGCTAAGTGAAATAAATCTTACTATTGGTTAGACTTATTTCTGACTACTAAGGTAAAATATCACATGGTTTCTCTTACATGTGAAATTTTAAGTATAATTTAAAGAGCCAAAATAAAAGATAAATAGGAAAACTGGAGCTAGACTTTGCTGAGATAGGGAAGGGGATTTGATGAGAGAGAAGGCAGAGAAGGGGAAGTGAAAAGGATTAAGTTCCATATGTAGGTGTACCAATTCCCTTGGACGAATACATCTATTATGTATTGCAAACATATACTATTTTTTTTAAAAATCCAAAACAATGACTGGTCTTGCCAAACGGGAGCTTTCTTTTTTAAAACAGGGTCCTGCTATGTAGTTCAGGCTAGCCTGAAACTTGCTATGAAGCACAAGCTGGCCTTGAACTCAGGTCTGACTCACCCTCCTGTTCTGGGATTACAGACCTGTACCACCACACAGGGTTCTACAATGGGTAATTTTTCATGTCCAGCATTCCCTGTATGTTAAGTAAAATTCTACTATTAGGAAAAGTTCCTTCTTTCCCATTTATTTATTCTATTATGTATTTGTAAAGGATTTCGGACTATTTGTTTTAATCTATGGATTATAATCCACTCCTAGCAGCATTTAGTTTATCTTTCAAATAATACAGCATTGGAGAAGAGAGGAGAAAGAAGAGATAGAGAACCCTGAAGTAAATAGGAGTGGAAGATCTCAGAAGCAGACACTGCCTCTTGGGCTGAGATAAAATCCCCAAAAGAAGGGTCCCCTAAGACTAAGAGATGGGTCTTGTTGAAGAGGGCATGGTTCCCTGGAAGACTGAGTAGTTTTACCAAGATACCATTTTTACGTACTAGGGAAAAGGGAACAACTCAGCCAAAGCATATGACAGCCATTGTCAGACATTTTTTGTAGTCTCTCCTCCTCTGTTGCATTGGCAATTAAGGTCACATATCAAAATATTGGCACATCTTCTAGCCTGGGTTCCTGAGTGACACCATGGAGAGTCCCCGGCCAATCTATCCTGGATACACAACCAGAGTGAAAAATCAATTTCTGTTGTGCTAACCTAATGGTAATTGGACGTTAATTTGTTACTGTCTGACAACCTCCTCGGCCACCCTGATTATGGTGTCTTAAATCTTTATAGCGTTTGGGGCACGATGCCACACAAACGATGTAACACAGTATTCAGTTTTTCCCAAGTATTGCAAAGCACAGAACAACTCATCTCTCACGTGATGTCTACAACCAAAGGAAGCAAAAGCTAACAAAAACTCAAAGAATAAGCACTTGTTCCTATATGAGCAACTCTCAACAATTAGTTGCAGAATTTTTGCACTTCACTTAAGTAGACAGGGCAGCATTTTACAACTGTTCCATGATCTTTTAAAGGCAAGTTTAGTGGCACAAGCATGTATAGAAACCAGACGTGTTTCTTTTGGTCCCAACCATGTTGCTCATCTTCACCGTTTTGCGTACTGAGTCACGGCTATAAAGTTGCGCCAGCGGTGGGACTAGGGGTCTTGCAGCTAGCCTGGAGCTCTCCTTAGCAAGCCCACGCCACAGAGTTCCAGGAGGCCCCAGCCTCCCGAGCTCCACCTTCCCAGGCAAGCATCTCAAGTTCCCGCCTCCTCACCAGCCAGCGCGTGACCGCCTCAGGCGCGCGCAGCCCCGCCCTTTCTAGCATTTATAGTCAATTAGGGGCCCCTGCAAGCATTCCCCCCAAGTGGGCAGGGAAAACCCCAAGCGCAAGTTTGATTGGTCCGCTGATCTCCGTGGCGCTTGACGTTTTTCCGACTCCGTCAGGTCGCGCTGCGTTTAAGGCGTGGCATCAGCTTGGGGCGCCTGAAGGAGACTCCGGGTCGGTCAAGCTGTTCTTGAGTCCTTTGGTGTCAACGCCCCAGCCACTACCTGCGCTCCATGAGGAAGATGCTTGCCGCCGTCTCCCGCGTGTTGTCCCGCGCTGCCCAGAAGCCGGTGAGGCGGCCGGGGCAATCAGGCCCGGGTGGGGTGCGAGCGACGGGGAGGCGGAGGGGGAGGAAGGCGGGCTGGGCTGCAGCGCCGGGGTGGGACAAGCGAGAGGAGCCGCGACCTTTGTTTTCCCTGGGCAAGGCGCAAACTCACTCCCAACAGGGAAGCGCGACAGGGAGCAGCACAGACCACGTCCGGATTTTGGTGCTGGCTAGGGAGGACTGCGATGCCTACCAGCTCTGTGCAGAGTTAGCTTCCCTTGTTCCGCCGCCCCAGCTCCGCATTCCGAGCAAGCACGAGGGCCCTGTAATTGCCCTTGGGTTTAGAGGATTTAGGAGGCCGTGCAGTTGAGCGTCTTCCGGTCTCCAGTTGAATCCATTCTTTTCAAATATTACTACTTTCATTATTCTTGATCGACGGGCTGTGTAGTTCGTAGTAATAAAGAGCTCGGAATCCGGAGGAGTTAGTTGCCCAATGCAAACACCGACCTGACCATTTGCTAGCCTTGTGACCTTAGGCATCCGCCTTTCTAAAAATGACCTCGTGCCCAGTCCTCTCACCTCGGAAGTGGAGAAAATAAGAGTGCGGGACTTAAGTGCCTGCCTTCTAGGATTAGCGTCAGCATTCAGTGAGTGACAGCTATAAACTTTTCTGAACCGCATCTGGAATCTTGGTTGCCATTTGTTTTGAACAGCATTACTGTTTTTAGTATTTTATGGAATTCCCAGTTTGATACACTTGTTGAACATCTGTGCTGGACTCGTAAGAAGACTTCAGACGAGGTCAGGCTCTTAAAAAACTTCCCTCCCTCTCTCAACATCTAAGCTTTTCTTGGCAGGCAGTTCTAGAGCAGAACTAGGCAGAGAGAATCAGGCAGAACCCAGAGGAAACTCCCCTTTTAAACACACTGAAGCTTGGGGTAAAAGCGGCTGTAGAAAACAGTGAAGGATGAGAATTAGAGGTTAAGGCCATTCGCGGCCCTTGCTTTTCGACGTGTGTAATACCTAAACTTGTAGCATTTTTGACTTCTAGGCACAGCAAGATAGTGTTTCTTTTCAAAACTGCCGCCAGGCTTCGACTTTTAATTCTGGTTCTATTAATATTTCCCAGGACTTATTCCAGCTCCACTTAGTGTGGGGCAGAGATCGTCGACGTTTGTAGGAAGTATACCACTATAGAAATCTCATTGGTTAACGACAAAACACAATTTGGCTAACTAGATACTGTTGCACCGTTTGAATTCTAACTAGAAACATGCTTCTATTCATTTATTTATGCATATATGCATGATATATTCAACATTAGTGAGGAAGTTATTTTGTGGTACTCAGGTTCAAACCCAGGGATACTTGACCACTGAACTACATACATCCCCAGCCCTTTTTGTTTATTTTATTTTATTTTAAGGCATGGTTTCCCTCGATTACTTGGGCTAGCCTTGCACTTGTGATCTTCTGCATCAGTGTCCTGAGTAGCTGGGATTATCAGTGTGCCACTGGGTTGGTTTACTGAGCAGTTTATATATTTCAGGCACTACACTAGATACTTCATATACTTGTGTCCATTTTAACCGCACATCAACCTTTTCTAGTGGAACACGGGTAATAAAGGCATGTTTTCAGCATTATACGGTTTTTCAATTATGAGCAGAAATAAGTTAGCTAAAAGTAGAGTTTGCTTATAGCTTTGAGATGGACAAGGAATACAGTAGAATTAAAAACAAAAGGTTTGTTGAGGCTTCAGCAGTGGAAAGGAAACTTCAGTAATGGAAAGGAACAAAATTTTTTACAGATGTCATCATCCCGTTTGGGAATAACTGTTGTTGGAAAGAACACATTTAAAATTTTTATTGCTAGACTCTTGGTGGGGGGGGCATTGGGAATCAAATCTGGGATCACAGGCCATGCTGGCAGCTACTCTACCATTTAGCTACATCCTTACCCGCTGTCAACAACTCTTGATCCATGCTTATTTTTTCTGAAAGTCAAGATTTCTCATTTCCTAAATTTGTAGGGTTCTTTTTCCACTCTTTACAGCAGGTAGAAAATTGAATTTCAGAGATGAAATCACCTTAGAAAGTGCCCAGTTTCCTTTTCACTGTGTAGTATAAGCTAAAATTATTCTTATCTTCCCTTCCAGGACTCTGAATGGTTTTTTCCCTTTGTATTTTTATTCTCTTGTTTTGGAGGGATTGAGTTTGGAGATCTGTGTTAAGCTTGAACTAACATCATCTCATTAGAGTGTGTGAAATGAAACTGAAATGATTATGAGATTGTGATTTCATTTTTAATGAGGTTGATAGTTTTTGATGTTATAAAAAGAGACTGAATTGCATTTGAAACTTATTTATCTTACTGTTTGTATTTCTGTTAAAATTCCTTTTGTGATATCTTTTCTACCATTATTCTTTAGCTACTTGAGTAGTAGTTAAGGTTTTAATTTACACTGGTAGAATCTGGAATTTAAAGAGTCTTTTTCCTCCTTTATTCAAATGATCCTTATACAACTGCAAGTGTGTTTAGGGGTGTTAAATAGATGACCATATTAAAGTTTTTGGTTGGATCAGTGAACACAACTGTTTGCAGTCTCACTGTTTGAATGTCCACTTTGTATGCTTTGATCCTGTGACTTGAGCAATTGTCTCTAAGATGATAATGTGTAATCTATTAATTGGTGATTTCTTACTGTTTTTTTTTTGTAGTTCTGTATTACTTGTACCCTTACACCGCTTTGTTTTGTTTTGTTTTTTCTCTTTTTCCTTTTAAATAAAAATTTAAAAAAACAAATGATTCTTACGTATTTAGCAAGTTAATGTTTTATTTTATTGAATAAATTGTTCATGATCTCTGTCAAAGAGGAATCCAATTTATGGGCTGGGGGCATAGCACAGTAGTAGAGCATGAGCTTAGCATGCCTGAGGCCCTGGGGTGGGTGGAGGGTTCGTATTTAAAAGAGAGTTAATGACTCTCCAAAGAAAATGAATGATAAAGTTATGTTTTTAGCAGTCTCAGTTAAAATGATAAACACACTTCTGATAGGACTGTTAGTTTAATTTTTTTTCTTTTACCCACTATTTCAGTGATTATGTTTATTTTTGAGGTTCATACTGTTGAATCTTGGTGAGAAAATACATTTTCTGGAAGTCTTAACTTTTGCCCTTCCTGCTTATACAACACTACCTGTTATTCTTCACTGTTTGACATTATGATTAAGAATTTACCTTTTCTCTTACTGTTGCCTAGCTTGTTTGGTCTCTATATACCATTTCAAAAACTTGTAGTTTCTGTAGTTGTACCTGGAAATTTATTGCACAATACAACAGATATTTTGTAGCTCTGCAAAATAATTTTAACTGCCAAAAAATCAGCTTTATAATTGCCAAACATAACCACTTGTTTGCTGCTTCTCTCATGGCTTTACTTCTTCCTAAATTCTCTTCATTCTGAGATATTTTAGTAGGTCCTAACCTCTAATTTAAAGGCGGTATTTAGTATTTAGAGGTGCTCCCTTCTACAGTATCATTGTCTTTTTTGTTAGCTTTATCAGATAATGGCACAGTCATCCTCCCTTATCTGAGGTTCTGCTTTCCTTGGTTTCAGTTGCCTGTGGTCACTATAGCTTGAAAATACAAAATGGAAAGTTCCAGAAGTAAGCAATTTATGAACTTTTGTGCCATTCTGAATAGAGTGCTAAATCTTAAGTTCCAGTTTACAGAGTGAATCATCCCTTCATCCAGGTCTCTACTGTGTATATGCTACCTTCCTGTTAGTAGTCACTGAGGTATCCTCCTGGTTATCACATCAGCCATCTCAGTCTTGCAGTGCTTGTATATTAGGTTCAACATTGCTGGTGATTTTAGGCATTTATTGCGAGTCTTGGAACATTTTCCCCACTGATGAGGTGAAGACATAAATAGATACTAGCTTTCTGCTTACTGGCTTGTATACTCAGCAGTACACTTAAGTTGATCATGACTCTTCACCATGATCAAGTCTAATACTAGAAGTTAGATGGTAACAAACCATTTTATGAGTGTAGATGAAACATGCTTTTTATGGGATTTGATGAGTATGCTTCACATCTCCATGAAAAGATATGCAAGCTTACATGTCAGTGTGTGAAAATATGGCAGAAAGTGGCAACAATAGTTCAGCAAAGCTAATTTTAACTCTTTGTGGTTTAACCTGAATCTTAGCCATCACTTACAATACTTTTATTGTGACCAGGTCTGTTCAGTTGTAAGAGTGTAAAAAAAATTACTTCCAATAGTGATAGCTACCCAAGAAGGGAATACTGTTAGACAATAATTTTCCCTTCTGAACCTTTAGGAGGAGCCTGCCTAAGCTTTGGGCCATTCATATTGTAAAGCTGCTGTCACAAGTCCATTATTTTTAAGTCAGTGTGCTAAGTATCTTCGCTTCCATCTTGAATGTTTCTCACTAATATATTTGTCTCTTATTTTGAATAGTTTAAAGTATTTTTCTTTACAAATCTGTCTCCTAGAAACATGAAGTTTGCTTGGAATAGATATTAACTGAAAGCTTTATTTGAAGTATAACTTTGGAAATGAACTCCTAGATTGCTGAAATGAACAGTATCATATTATGACTAAGAAGAGCATAAACAAAGCCCAGAGAGTATCTAGTCTCTTCAACTTGGCCATTGATTTCATTATAATCTCACTATAATTTCTTTGAAATAAAATGATGAAATGTACAGGTTTGGCTTTTGACATCATTCTTTTTGGCTTCCCATAGGGGTATGATAGGGGTATGATAATGTTTCATTTGTGAAAGCATGGATGCATTTTAGAAGGCAAAGATAGTGAACAGAAGTCTGAACCTTTTGAGGCTTACTAGTTTCACAGCTGTGTCTTTCTAACAAATTAGTGACAATGACTTTCTAAAATAACTGATGGTAAAAAAAAACACTTATTTGTATATTTTTTTCTTTTTAGTCAAGCAGAGTACTAGTGGCATCCCGTAATTTTGCAAATGATGCTACGTTTGAAATTAAGGTAAGAATTATTTGTTTTGTGTTGTATTTCCATAGGTATGCTTGGTACAGTTTTACAATTAGAGTGAAATAGTAATATTCATACTTATTTTGTTATTTTCTTCCAAATGTGCCAGAATCAAAAACTTAAAGAAGTTTAGCAAAAATAAGTATTTATTTTTAGTAGTTTGCTGGTGTTTTTTTAGGGGGTGTGCTTAAAAATAATGGAAACTTTAAAGTTCATGGTGTGATTCAGTGAAACATTTGAATAAGATGATTCTTTGATGTCTCTTTGAAATTTCATCTTTCAGTTTATAACTCGGTTGACTTCTAGGGGTTTTCAGTGAAAATGAGCTCTTAGGTCACTTCAACCCATCCCATTGGACAGTGATGTTTATAGATTTAAAGAATCAGCAGCAACATGACATTGCTGGTGTGCGCTTTTGCTGTTTGTCAACTTGAGTATCATTTGTTAGGGAGTTGGGTCATAGTGTGAGTCAGCAGTGTTTGCCATGCAGTAACTGGAGGATGACCACCTTGGCTTCATTTCAGAAATGTGATCTTCACCGGCTGGAAGAGGGCCCACCTGTCACCACCGTGCTCACCAGGGAGGATGGACTCAAGTACTACAGGATGATGCAGACTGTGCGCCGAATGGAGTTAAAGGCAGACCAACTGTATAAGCAGAAAATTATTCGTGGTTTCTGTCACTTGTGTGATGGTCAGGTAAGTGGTAGCTTTGTAATTGCATTATTTAGGTATTTAAAGATAGTTTCTGTTCATTGGTTTTTATGCTCCTTTTCAGATTTGAAGCTGGTATTTTATAATGAAAGCTAGAATACCAAAACTCAAAAAGAAAGTTAGGCTAAAGCATCATTCCCACATAACATCCTATATCTGCTCTTGTATAAAATTCTGTTATTTTAAAACATGCTGGCATTGTAGTAGTCTGTGCCCTCTTTGGAGAAAGGGTTATTTTGTTGGTTTGTCACTTTGTGTGGGTAGGCCAAGGATTACAAATTCAAATGTGTACAAAGCCCAGCTAGGTATAAGGAATGAGCAAAGAAAGCCAGGCAGGAATGTAAAACATGGAGAATGGTGACAGCAACCAAGAGTGACCTGGAGTGGGTGCATCCTATCCAGGAGGAGGCCATGACTTGGTGCTAGCCAGTTTATATTACATGAAAAGTAATGGGCTAAGGCTTCCTATTGCTTTTCCACAAAGAGACAGAATACTCAATTTTCATGTGACATTCGCTCAGTATTTTAACGTTGACATCTGACTCGGGATTTTTCCTCCTCTTTTGGTGGTGGTACTGGCATCAAACCCAGGGACACTTTACCACTAAAGTTCATCCTCAGCCGTTTTATTTTAAGACAGTGTTTCACTGAGTTACATAGGTGGGTCTAGGAATGTTTCATAGCATTTAATTTAATAGAAACCTTTTTATCCAGAAACATGTAATGTGTTACCTCACGGTTTCTTCCCCTTTTAATGCAGGAAGCCTGCTGCGTGGGACTTGAGGCCGGCATAAACCCTACAGACCATCTGATCACAGCCTACCGGGCTCATGGCTTTACCTTCACTCGGGGCCTTTCTGTCCGGGAGATTCTAGCAGAGCTAACAGGTTTGCTGTAGATTTACGAAAAGGGAGAGTGAGTTGATTGCACTTTCAAATATCTCCCAATAAGATGCTGACTGTTCTGAATGTTAAAATCAGCTTTTTGAGTTTAATATTAAAAACAACCCTCTGGGTTAGTGCTTGGGTACTTCTGTTATGCTTTCAAGTAAATTTACTGTGAAGTCATCTGGTCCCTTAGCCAAAAATTGTAAAAAGATTAGTGCTATACAGTACAGCAAGAATGTGGCTTGATGTCGCTCCAGCATGCCAACAGAAAACCAACAGTCATAAATTAGATTGAGCTGAAATACTCAAAGTATACAGTGTAGGTTCTAGTAATTTTTTAGTATTTCTTGTCTTCCTTGACTCAAACTATTTAGGGTACTAGTATAGGAGAAGTCAGAAGGTATGTGTAACTGGCTAAAAAAACCCTCTAGCATACCACACTAAACATCTGAAGGCAACTGAGTGATGAGAGAGCAGGAGCAGATGGACTAGTCAAGGGCATGGGGTTAATCTGACTTTCTTTATTGTAGGACAGGGAGAAAAGGCAGAAGCTAGGTTTTTATGGAGGGACGGATGCTTAAATAATTGAACTGGCCTCAAGAGCAAGGATATGGGGTGTGATTTTGTTTGTTTTGTGTATTTTGTTTTCCATACCCATGTGATGTGTTGCCATTTCTAGGACGAAGAGGAGGTTGTGCTAAAGGGAAAGGAGGATCTATGCACATGTATGCCAAGAACTTCTACGGTGGCAATGGCATTGTTGGAGCTCAGGTAGCTGAGTATGAGGATCACATGCTTCCATAGATTTGATTCGGGCTCAGATTTCAGTGCTTTCAGGACTTGGTTTGCTTTTAAAGACCTATTGCTTCTTACCCTACCATATGAGCAATTAATAAGTAGATTTGGGTCGTGATTTAAAATTTATTTTTCAGGTATTTAAATTTTATAAGTAAGCAAAACCACTAGCAGTGGAACTATATTTTCACCTTTTTATAATTTCAGTATGTTAATTGCTTCATCACATAAGTTTTTCCCTCTGTCTATGTGCTGGTAGGCAGTGCTATCACAGGGGCCCAGGGGAGGGCAGAATCTCAGGCAAATTAACAGCATGGGATTATTTCTAATATTTTAAGATCCTATTAAACATGTTTTAAATGTAGATTTTCTTTTTTGACTGGAGGATTTGTAGTTGAATCTTTGGGTACAGAAATGTCATGGTCAGCTGGTCAAAACATAGTATTTATTCATATTAATTTACTGATTGATTGAAAATATTGGGGTAAATGAGCAAAGATAAGGTTAGGGTATGAAGAGTTTGTGGCAACAGTATAATTTCTGTCTCAGATTCTGTCAGGAGTTAAAATTCAGTTGCTATGCTGATGGATTTCTGTGGTTCCTTTCTCCATCATCCTTAATGTTAGGTGCCCCTGGGAGCTGGAATTGCTCTGGCCTGCAAGTACAATGGAAAAGATGAAGTCTGTTTGACATTATATGGTGATGGTGCTGCCAATCAGGTAAGTATGTATCTCTTCACTTTGCAGTGATAATTTCTAAAGCTTGAAAGTTCATAGTTAAGTTTGTGAAGAAACAACAGTGTTCCTTATTAGTTGAAATAGCATTTTGTGTGGCAAGATGTTACTTAGTTTTAAAGCCGTGTTGGAGATTTACCTCGTGGCATGTTTCATCAGAGTCTTATTGGGAGCATTCCTATGAAGGGAACTCTTTTTTGCTCCATACTGGTGCTTCACAAGTGTTCTGTAGTTAAGGACTGTTTTTTTTTTTTTCATTTTAAATGTCTAACCCATTGCAAACCAGTATTGTAATATACAGGCTTATTCTCTTGGATGCCAGAGAAATGTCAAATTTTCCTATATTGGTGTCTGAGCCCGACACTTCCTTCCTTCATTCAGTTTATGCACTCACGAGACCATGTACTCTGAGTCCCTGTTCTAGATGACCATTCTCAGATGCTGGAACACTCTGATTATCCAGTAGATCTGATAGATTATAATCATAAAACACATTTTCGCGTACTGATCTTTTTTCCAGTGTACTCTGTCCTACTAGGTCCCAAAAGAAACAAATTGTGGAGTTTGTCACTTCCATTAGTTGCAAGAGTGTGATGCCTTTTTCTTCCCACTGCCCCCAACACGTGTTTATTCCCTTGCCACTAGGAACTTGGTTTTAGAAGATGGGGCTTTTTAGCCTTCAGGCAGTTGCAGCAACTTTAGGCAGAACAGCTCTCAGGGATGATGAGGATGAGGCCCAGAAAAATAAGCAAAATGAAACTACTTTAACTCTGTGTCCATACTTCCAGGGTCAGATATTTGAAGCTTACAATATGGCAGCATTGTGGAAATTACCCTGTATTTTCATCTGTGAGAATAACCGCTATGGAATGGGAACGTCTGTTGAGCGAGCCGCAGCCAGCACTGATTACTATAAGAGAGGCGATTTTATTCCAGGGCTGAGGGTAAGAACACTTGTTTCGACTCAGAACCCCCACCATCTTAGCTAGATGCCCTTGTGCACACTTTGATCAAAGTGTTTCTCTTTCTTACACATGAATGGGTTGCATCAATGCAAAATGGGAAAGCTGGGGGTGTAGCTTAGTGGTGGAGCACTTGTCATGTGCGTGAAGCCTTGTGTTCACCCCGACACTGCCCCCCAAAAATGTGAAATGGGTTTGGACAGTTTATGATCTGCTCCTTTCGTCTTTCTTAACAGGTAGATGGAATGGATATCCTGTGTGTGCGAGAAGCAACAAGGTTTGCAGCTGCCTATTGTAGATCTGGGAAGGTAAGACTCTCCAGAGACTTTCTTGTAGGCTACTGGGCTAAAAATTTTCAATGACATTTATGTGTTTTAATAAAAGAAGACTTCCCATGTGCCTTTTGCAGTTATTCAGGGGTTGCTGCTGATCAAGGTATATAAATAAGATAGAAGCAGAGTCCGGTCAGTCGAATGAGTAAATATGGGTAGCATGGTCTTAGTAGTGCACCTAAGAAACACTCCACATTTCCTTCACTTGAGGCTCTTTTAATGATTCTTAAGCTTTTTGCCTCTTTTCATTATGGACAGTATATTTTGCCTTTTGGTAGGGTTCGTTATATGCTCCCCCTCAATCATAAGCCCTCAAGTGGCCAGATTGGGGAGCCTGCAATATCCAGCTAGGAACTTTGCATTCAATAGAAACTTATTTTATACAAAGCATGGGGCTGGGGATTTAGCTCAGCGGCATAAGTACCTGCCTTGCAAGCAGGCAGTCGTGAGTTCGATCCCTGGTACTGGAAAAAAGGGAAAAAAGAAACAGCATGGTTAAAGGGTGTAATCTTGGTCTTGCTGCATCATTCCTTAAAAATCTTTACCTTTTAGTTTTAGTATATATAAGTAAGGGAAAGGGAAACAATGAGATTGACCTCAAGAGTGGCTTCAGCATTGGTAGAAATTTCATAGCAGTTCTTCCTAAATCAGTGTTCCACAGCTCAGAAATCATGGCCCTGTGGTTTACCTAACAGTGACAGTGATGTGACATGTGTGTACCGTAGGGCAGTAATGCAAATTGGATGTGATTAGCAATGATGAAAATGTCAGGAAGAGGGAAAGGAAGCCAGGGGGGAAATGTGGTGTTACATGAGACAGGAAGATAAACTAGAGCAGGACTAAGGTTGGCTGCAGTGGGTTGAGCAGTCTGTATCAGAACTGTAAGACAAAGGAAGGATAGAACAAGACAAAGGGATGAATCTGTCACAGGTGGAAGAGGTGCAGGGGACCAAGGGGGAGTGCTGAGTGGGGAAGGGATGAGGAAATAGAGTGAAGATGTGCCAGATACAAGGTATATAAGACAGCTTCAATAAACGTGGATATTATATGCCATAAAAATGAACTAATAATATTAACAAGACTGAAAAGGGGCAAAGAACAAGAAGAAAGGGGAGACAGGGAGGAAAGAAGATTAAAAGAAGGTATATTATATGTATGTACCAATTCCCAAAGATGATTGTAAAATGCATGCACTACCAAAAAAAAAAAAAAAGACTAAAAGGGCCAGACCCTGGGTATTGGATATTGTTCCCATTTCTCTGTTTTTGAAAAGGGCTTAACCTTTAACAGAAACACTTTATAGGATGTGATGATTTAAATCCTGCTCTTGGAAAAAAGGGGAGGATCTGGAACCCTTATCACCCTAGCCCATCCCACTATGATTCCAGACAGTTATACCGAGAGAGTGACAGTTGAAGGATTGATACATGTTGGGGAGTGTGCTTTTTAGATGTTTTTTAACCTTTGCAATTCTTAATCTGGTCTGCTGTGCCCATTTTTCTGATTAGGAAACTAAGGCACAGCAGTTGAAGTACATGGCTAACAGATCTTAGAGCTGAGATTAGAAACCCCAAGCACTTGGGCTAACCAGATGTACCTCCCATACCCGTTACTACACCAAACTACCCAGAACTCCTTTATCCATCCCCTTCCTTTAGGGAACAGTACCCTGTGTAAGTAGGCTAATGTGGCATAAGCAAGCCACTTGGTGCTGCTCAGCTGGGCTCTCTACACTCACAGCAGAGTTGTTAGACTTGAGGTATCAGAGATCCTTTTTTAGCATACCAGCAAGGTCCTGATGAAGTGGGATTGGCTGCCATCCCCTATAAAACACTGCATGAAAAGGGCCAAATTTACTTAGAAATGGAAATCTACCTAACCACTATCGGTGGGCTCTGTAAACATGCTGTTTTTTTTTTTTTTTTTTGATTGAAAACAAACTTGGCAGATTGCTTTACTAACTTCCTGTTAAAAATGAGATGGATGAGCTATAATCCTAGCTGTTCAGGAGACTGAGACAAGAGAACTGAAAGTTCTTGGCCAGCCTGGCATACTTAGTAAGATCATTTCTCAAAACAAAAGGGGCTGAGGATGTAGCTCTGCAGTAGAGCACTTTCATAGAATGTGTTCCATCCCCAGTACCATCCCTACACACACAGCAGCTGAAGTGGGTAATAAACTAGGTGTTACAAAATTCCTGACAACTCAGCTGATTTATATGCATGATCTGATCAGAATGTACTGGATGCTGCAAGGGTCTTCCTTTCAAGGTGGGGGGGGCTGTTGGCATATTGTTCTATCATCTTACTGTCCACTTATGGGTCCTGTTTTAGGGACCTATCCTGATGGAGCTGCAAACTTACCGTTACCATGGACATAGTATGAGTGATCCTGGAGTCAGGTACAGTCATTAGGGTATTTGTGGATTCCAAAGTAGGCGGGCTTTGAAGGGTGTTTCTAACATGAAAAAGCAAAACATTTCAGCATTTGCTTTTGAAATAAGTTCATTTCATTCATTAAGTTTTGTTGCCACCAGTTACTTACTCTGAAAGCAGTGCTTCTAATAAATTGATTGCAATATAGAAAGAATTGTGAAGGTCTCTATGTGCGCTAACGGAGAATTTTTAAAAAGCTTTTAACTAAATTACAGAGGGAAATTGTTACATAAAATAGGTCTTACAGGAAAGTATCATTTTGAGGGTATGTAGTTTATGAAGGCATTATCTGAGTCTCACACATAACAGACTCTTCCCAAAGAAGATTTGGATTTAGAAATGTTCTGGCTGGTAGCAAGCAAGGTCCACTGGCTCATAGAGTGTTCAGTAAGTAGGTATGTGTTAATCAAAATAGGTGGGTTATGTGCAAAGGTGTGTGTTTCCCTTTTTCACTTAGTGGCTGTAGCATGTAATTCTGCAATTGAAAAGTCAGTTTAAACAAGCCTTTGTAGAATAAATTTCTAAGGGAAAATGTGGAGAGCAGTTTTTGAAAATAGAACCCTTGCTTTTAGTAGGTTTTTTTGGGGGCACCGGGGATCGAACTCACGACTACGCGCTTGCCAGGCAGGCACTTATGCTGCTGTGCTAAATCCCTGGCCATTTTGTGTTATTGTAAATATAATGTAGAAAAAAGATACACAGTTTTATATAATCTGGAATTGGACATCCTGATAATCAAGTTTTTTTCAGCCATGCTTGAGAGTATTTAGGGGAAAAGGGAAGGCACATACACTTTCTGCTTGCTTGGCATTCTGATGCCTCAAAGTCTAGTAATTATCTCTGCTGCCCCTATCCATGTAAAATACAGAAGCCTAGAGGTGGGACATAAGACACTTCCTTCATACACTACTTCCAGATGAAGGTAGCAAACCAACACTCGGCCTGTGTTGTCAAAAATGCAAGAGAAGCCCTGAGTTACAATGTACAATTTTCTATAAAATATACAACCAACTTTCACAAGCTATTAGCTGCGGCCTTGTGTTCTGAAAGTTTGCTTGTGCTCTTCCCACAGCAACACTGGTACTGATATGCCCTTTGCTTTCCAGAATATACTGCTATATTTCACTAAGCTGTCACCTCAACACGCAGTTCTTATCACTGTTTCCCTCATAGTTACCGTACACGAGAAGAAATTCAGGAAGTAAGAAGTAAGAGTGACCCGATTATGCTTCTCAAGGATAGGATGGTGAACAGCAATCTTGCCAGTGTTGAAGAATTAAAGGTAAAGTCACTCTTTGTGGTTTAAGTCTGGCTTTAAAGGTTGGCTTTCCTTTCTTAGCAATCACTCTCCACCCAAAAATTTGCCAGAGTCGTAGGTAAGTTTGTCTAAACCAAGAAAGTGATGTGAGATTTCTCAGGGCTGTTAAGACTTGATGGGCACTGAACTGCCTAATGGGAAAGTACATGTTGTCACAGGACATTAATTATATTGGCAAAAAAGCGTTTAACCTACTCTTAATTGCAGTTTTTTTTTTTCTTCTTAAAAAATAGTTTGGATTTTTAATTCATAGCTAGTCCCTAGGTTAGCTACCTGTGTAATTTTGTCATTTAAGCTCTTCAAAATTACCTACTGTTGCACTTTTAGACTAGAAGAGTTACATTTATACCAACAGGTTCTGAGTAGAACTCTGGTTGGCACTTAAATTGCTGTTGATTCAGAAATCTCTTGTGCTATAATTTAATGTTTAGGAAATTGATGTTGAAGTGAGGAAAGAAATTGAGGATGCTGCCCAGTTTGCCACAGCTGATCCCGAGCCACCTCTGGAAGAACTAGGCCATCACATCTACAGTAGTGACCCACCCTTTGAAGTGCGTGGTGCTAACCAGTGGATCAAATTCAAGTCAGTCAGTTAACAAGAGACCACATGTAATGGAATGGGCTATTCATCAGCAACTGTAAGGAACTCTGTTTTTAACCTTGAGAAATATACTAAAAATATGGTGTAAGTCTTAGAAACTTCAGCATGTAAATTATATTGAGAGAGTAATCGCATGCAGGTTGTACATTAGTGCTTAAGTGCTTTGTGTGAATATATAAAACAGGTGGTAAAAGAATACTCTCCCAGATATTTTCTTTTGTCTAAACAGAAGAACAACAATTCTTTGTATGCCTATTCCAACCCTGTCATCTCTTTGGGTAGAAATCACTGGCCTTGAGGAATCATTGCTGTGTCCTCAGGTAGTGGTGGCAGAAGACGGTTCACACTGATTACAACAGCATTCTCCAACAATTTTTATTAAAAGATTTCAAAGGCCAAACTACTTTGTTTTCTCCAATTATACATTCAACATAAACATAAAATTATCTTGTTACATTCCCATTAGATAATAAACTAAACATATCCATTTTCTTTTTCACATTTAAGTACTATATTAGTAAATAAGGCACACTCTAAAACAGATACCCAGCCTCATTTTAAACACTTTTCAAGTAATGTAGGATGTGGTAACTTTTCATGAAAGTAAAATTCATATATGCTGGGATATCTAAGATACACTATTCATATTAAACATACTTCTATAAATCTTTAAAATGTTTATAAACAGACTAAAACATTTCAGTAAGCAAAATCTTTAAAACATTAAGTTCTTAATTGAATTAAACTCAGCAGAATTTGTTGTGTATGGAAACAAACTTTAACCACACACATGTCAGTTAATATTGTCCTCGGGTGTATCCGCATCCTCTGCGGGCTCCTGGTCCTCCTGTTTTCGGTGCTTGACAATCGCATGCCAGATCCTACAGAGCACACCACCCCTGTGAAACAAATAACATTTGTAAGAAAAATAAATTTCAAACCAAAAATCCCAAATACCTACCTGCCTAAGAGTTCTTACTGCAGAAAGTAAAGTATATAACTCCAGAGTTAACATTTGCCACCTGTTCTCAAAAACACAGCCTGCCTACTTAAGCACTTCACAAAAACATTCACATGTGAAGGTGATACTCGTGCCCCTGCAAGAAGTACTGAGGGATCTGTGTAAGGCTATTTAAAGTGACATAGGAATAAGAGGGCAAGTTGCCATTTCAAGAGCTGAGTGTAGTGTGCTGACATCTTTTCCCAACTTGAACCTAGCAAGACTCCAGATTTGGGAGGGGAGACATTACCGGCATTTTGTTTTCTACTTTATTTTAAAGTATATTCACAGAAAAAATGTTCTATTATACAACAGTAAGTGCTGAACCACTTACCGTAACTGAAGGCTCTTTAGGTCTTCCTTAGAGATATGATCAAGAATATCAGAAAGAGTATAACCCTCTTTAACAATCTGAAACAAAGACAAAATGCTTAAGACCTAAGCAGCTTTTTGACGTCATAGGAATTGGTTTTGGTTATAAATATACCTTTTCAATTGTATCTGCATCCACTTGTAGCTGTTGCAACCAAGCTGTAAGCTCTTCATCTGTGCTCTGTGACTGAGCAGGTGCTGGGATTGCTGAGCAGGTGCTGGGAGCAGGATCTGTAACAATTAGAAACTTGTTGTATATTAAAGTGCTTTTCTAAAGTAAAATGGATGTAAAAAAAAAAGTATCCAGAATGTAAATGTCACGTGAAAAATTGAGTTAAATCTGTATTATCCAGCTGCTGTGTACAAGTCACAATTCTTGGGTTTGTTTTACAGAGAATAGAATCATCCTTACCTACCCTACCTTGAATAAATGTGTAACTTGACAAGATATCTGTCTCGGTTTAAATGCTTATTCCCATTTTAAAGTGCCTTATCTTAGGGATGTACTGTATCTCCCTAACTGCACCGGAAATAAAATGAGAAACAGGCTTTGGCTGGGGCTTACCCATTCCACATTCTAAGTGGCAACTTCTCTGTGTCACAAAATGAGAGGTTTAATGAAGTAAAACCATGGTTTCCTGTGTAAATTATAAGGTGTACCTTGGACACTCATGTCACTACCACAAGGTACATTTCTAATATGAGAGGTTCTCATGTGTTTATAATTTCTTCCCTTTCCTATGCATTCCGATTTTCTGTCCCTTTATTTTTGCATTTTCCATAGTACTATGTGACTAGACTCACAGTAGCCTTTGAATCTGAGTTTTTTACACAGCATACTGAATTTACAGTCTATCCTATGTTGTTGAATAGACCAGTAGTTCCTTTGTTAATATTCCAGAACCTACTAGAGTTATGATTTAACAGCAGACAACCTCAACTTTTTTTCCAAGGCTGGCTAGAATATTACCCAGCTTTTCAGTAGTTTCTCTCTCATATGCAGACACATATAAAGTAGAGCAAGTGGAAAATGACTCACCATTACATCTCTGTTGGACCTGAAGGTGATGCAGTTCTTGAGCTTTCTGTTCTAGAGATAGCCACATTTGATTCTGGAACTCTCTCTCTCTTTGAACTAGGTGTCCTAAAATTCTGGTTAAGAAAGAAAGAAAAAACATCATTCGGGGAGCCCAGTACCATCTAAACCAAAGTCAAACATTTGTTGAATATTAGCAATTGGGGGGGGGGATCCCAACAGCCCACACAAGGAAGTGAGACATCGTTTTTTAAGCGTTCTGAGTGATGTTTCAGCTCACATGGGGGAACTTTCTTGTGTTTTTCCTCTCCTTGGTAACAAAAACCAGTGCTCTCAGTATATTTTTGGAATGGAATGTTTGTGTCCTCCTGAAATACTTCTGTTGAAATCCTAACCTCAAGGTGCTATTTATAAGGGTGGACCTTTGAGAAGTAAAATTAATACTCTTAAGGAAAAGATCCCAAAGACTCCTTTGTCCCTACCATCATGCAAAGGTACAGCAAGTAGCTGGCCACCTGTGAACCAGGAAGTGGGCCCTCACCACAAACTAAGTCTGCCATCACCTTGATGTTGGACTTATTTCCAGAAGAGCAATACTCTTGTTTGTAAGCCACCTGCTGTATTGGGTTTTGTCACAGCAGCCTGAGTGGACTAAGACGGTTTTGTCTCAGAATGCGTCATGAACCAAAAGTTAATTTGATGATGATCAGTGGAAGTCACCCAGAAGGATGCTCTGATTAAACTTGTCTCTAAGTCAGCAAAGGTAGTTGAGACTAGGATGGTCAGAGTCATCCTTCACAGGGAGTAAAGTAAGGGTACCATTTCTGGTAACAGTTGGGGCTTGAGGAAGGACAGTAAGTGATGCCAGTCCACCACTGTGTGGAATACTTCAAAGTCACTGAGCATTCAATGCAGAATCCAGGAGTGCTCACCACTTTTCACAGATTAAGTCATTGAAGCTTTACAACATTTTTATGAATTTAAATACCATTTTTTTCTACCCAGTCTTCAGAGATAAGAAAACTGGCAGTGATTAAACAGTTCACCCAGTCACACAGACTGGGTTCTTCCCAGTAGAACAGTCTCCTGTTGCTCATGGTCTCTCTGGACCAAGAAAGGCAGGGCTTGTCACTTGAGGTCTCAAACTTCTACATCCCCCTCTATCAGCTCAGCTAGCATACCTGGAGAAAGGGATAGGGGCTGGCAGATTGAAGCCATGTCTGGCTTTCTGTTTGCTGATGTACCTAATACATGAGATTAGTTTGTTTCCAGTGTGTGCTCTTTACTTAACATTATCTTTTCAGATGAACTAGGGAATATAAAATTAAGCTTTAAGGCACTCAATATTATTGACATTGCCCCACAAGTCACTGTAACAGTATGTAATCAGATGAGGACAGAGGTACTGCTGTGTAACTTGGTGGCAACACCGGGTAGGAGAGGGGAACTCTTCTACACCAACAAGCAAGGAGTACAGGTGCCCAACAAGAAATCCACCCCTACTTTTCTTTACCTTTGTCTATCAAGCAGTCCTCCTCCTTTTACCCAAGTGAAGGGGACAATTCTAGCTTGTGCCTGTGCCTATTCGGTGGAAAGGTGTCTCAGGCTTGTCGCTTACCGGGACAGACCAGTTATCCTAGTCACATTATTGTGTCTAGTAAGGGCCGTTCTCTAGCTCTGCTCAACTGACATCTACTCCAGGCCACAGGCAGGTTGCACAGGAATTACATGTGTATTAGCCATTCACATTAATATGCTGGCTGCTGTTTTAACCAGTGCTTTAATCTGCTGAGACCAGGACATAAGAGCATGACAGAACAATGCAGAGAAATAACCTTTAAATCCACATATACCATAAACTAGGCAATTATAAATCTGAGAAAAAGTTTTGAGAAAAATGCCATTTTATTACCAGCTTTCATATTTGTCATCTTTCTAAAACTTTCAAACTTTTGCCACTACCGTTTGATTTAAATGCTGGGTCTTCTGTTTTAAGAGAGAAATGATTAGATCTGCCTAAAATTAAACGTAAGAGTCCCATATGGGTGTATATGTCTTTTCATCCAAAGTGTGAATACCTGACACATTTCTATTAAGTAAGAAACATCACTGATTATTGTATGGCAACAATGCATCATTTACAACAAGCACCAACTAGTTTTATATAGCTGTAGAGTCTTTTATTAAAAGCTCATTTATAAAAGTGATTTTCCTTTATTCTGGAGAATTGAGAAGAGTAACATTACTTATTCAACAAATAATACTGAACACCTCCAACATGCTGAGGAGGGTAAACCTTATGGCAGTGCCAGGGCCTCCTGGTTGGGAAAGCAGTCCACTGATGCCTATCCTGGGGGGAGTATGACAGATCACCACAAAGATATAAAGGCAGATTTCTTTGGGGTAAGGGGTATGGGATCCACGTCCATTATCCAAATACAAACTGAGTTCCAAATTCTGCTACTTAAGGGACAGGCTATGAATATACCCTGTTGAGCCTCCTGGGTCACACCATGCTATGTGATAGGTACACCATCTTGGTAAAGGCACAGAAAGAGCTCATATACTGCTGCTTTGTATGGCATATTTTTTAGTGGCTTGTGCCTGTCTGACTCCTAATAGCACAAAGCTGTGAATACATACTTGTTTCATCTATTGATAGTGAAGGCGCTTTTTTTTTTTGAGAGCCGAGTGAAATCCTCTACAATTGTCTTGTTGGTTCAGGTAACCATCCCACCCCTGCTTCTGGCAGACAGTCTGGAATGGAAGGTCCTTACCTGTCAGCCTCTTCCCTGAGCATGGTCAGGTACAGCTGGTGGGGTGAGGCCTCTTGCATAACCATGGAACCAAGTCTGCTTCTTCTGGCTGTTACATGTACTTCACCAGGCAATTGTGCTACGGAGCAGTCCCTCATTTTATCCATGCCTTTATCTACCTGCATCTCAAAGGCAGGCTCAAAGTGGGCTCGGAACTCTGCAAAATCACAGACCATGGTTATCTAAATAGTACTTTTAACAAGGCCTGGGCTTACGGTCATTTATGTTTCCTGCCGGCAAACTAGGTTGTTCACCAGCTGGCTGGGCCACTCAAGGGAGTGCTGACTTGGAAAGGACAAAAAATGATTTAATTCTGTTCTCTCTAGTGCAAAGATGATCCTAACCCTAACCTCCAGTTTATACAAGAAGGAACTGAGAAAGTTGTTAAGGAAATTAGCTAAGGAGTCTTGACAGAGATACAACCAGGCCAGTGCCTGCTCAAGTAGGACAAGAATGTAATCGTGGAGTTTACTGTGCCCTTTCTGCGAGCTGAGCCCCCATTCAGGAAAACAGACAGATAACCAGCAGCTGCCCAAAACAAAAAAGGGAAAGGACAATGTTAACAGAATCATTCTAAAGCCCCATTCATAGAACCACAGCAGGAGAGAGCAATTTTGGTATTAAAACTTATTTAACATTTCAAAAAGAAATCTCTGAATAGGCTTATGTATGCCTAGAACTTCACCTAAAGGGTTTACAAGAATTGATTTTATTATGGTGATAGTATGAACAACTACACTGAAGAAAACGAGATATCATGGTAGTCATTGATAATTTCCTATCATTTTGATTCAAAAATCCAATAGTGCTTTTTTTATTCTTGGTTTTGATTAGTTTTAGTCTGTTTTCAATTATTTGATTTCAGTATGTATGAAGATATGGACAGCTACTTTAAAGAAAACAAGAAACATTATGGTAGCCATTATTGATTTCCTAGTGTCTGGTCTTGAAAGCCCTTATGGTTCTCATTCTTGTGTTTTGATTGCTTTTATACTATTTTGATTTGATTAACTTATTGTGTATGAAGGTATGAACAACTCTTTCAAAGAAAACAAGAGACATTATGGTGGTTGATTTCCTGCTGTCTTTTTCTGAAATCCTGTGTTATTTGCATTGTTTTACTCTGCTCTGCTTTGTTCTGTTTTACTCTGTTTTGTTTTATTCTCTTTTTTTAAAAAGCCCAAGATTGGGCCTGGGGCATAGCTTAGACATAGAACATATGCTTAGCATGTTTGAATCCCTGGGTTCAGTCTCCTGCCCCCAAAAACAAAAGCTCTAAATTTCATAGGTACCACAGGATGATTCTAAGAGAACAGAGCCATTTAATTATTAGCTATCTAGTAAGCATCTGTGAGCAGGCACACTGGAGCACAACTACTGCCCTGCCCTTGGGCTCAATATTCCATTTTTAGAGCACAAGTTTAGTCTGGGTGCAGTCACCTTCACTGCACCTTGGAAAGAGGTAAGTACAGCACCATGAGATGTTCTTGGCCCCTGAAGAGATCTATGACAGCATTCACTTCACTGCAGGGAAGTATAAAACCAAGACAGAAAAAGAAAAAGCAACAATTATTGCGTCCAGAGGATGATTCTGCTTTTTTCCACAGCCTGGAAGTGATCTTGAGCACAAAGAGGGCACTTACCTGGGCTAAGAGTGGTGACTGCAGCCTGCACTGCTCTGCGGAGGATGTCGCCCATTGCAAATATCCATCGAGGACTAATTAAGTGGTTCCTCAAAATTTTATTTACCTAAAATCAAAAAAATTCAAATTGCTATTTTTGTACTTTTAAAAGAAATACAAGTTCTTACTAATTTGCTTCTATTCTGTCTGAGATGGTTAGGCATGCTGACCTAGATTTCTGCCTGACATATTTCTTCCAAACTGTTCTAGGCTAGTGATGGCCAACTTTTTAGAGACAAGTGTCCAAACTGCAACCCAAAATTCACTTATTTATCACAATGTGTCAACACTGCAATTAAACCTGAATACTGAGGTTTTAGTTTAGAAAAAATAACTGATACATAAAGTGAAAAACAACAGTGCTTTCCATGTTAGAAACAACCTGCTGCAGCATGTATGCCATAGATTTGCCACCACTCCTCTACACTGACCCTAAGTCATGCTGGGGCCCAGAAGATGGGCATTTATTATGTACCTGTGAAATGGCAGACTACACTGGGGGCTTGGGACATAAAGATGAATCAGAATGGTCATCTGAGCCTGAAGAACTTTGTATCTATTTGGACAGACACATAGGTCAGACTCTGTACTGACTACTGGCCCTATATGCATGCTCTTTGTGGCCAAATGCAATCAGCCCTTTGACCAGGTGACATTTCCTATGTCTGTATGCTCAGTGATTTAAAGGACCTGCTGAAATTCAGGACTTGGGTATAAATAGCTGAGAAGACATGGGGGCTGTGGGAAAAGATAGAGATTGAAGTCCATAGTCTAAGCATGTTCTCTAGGGCCAGTTGAAGTACTTACAGCATCTTGGAATCCAGATAGTATCAGGTGAATCTGACTGATGCGTATGCTGTCACAGTCTAAGTCCATCTTTAGCTTTGATATCATGGATGCCATCATCCTGTGGTTCGGGGCGTAGATGAAGTTCCTCAGGATTCCAATTACTTGCTTAATGTGAGCATCTGAGATATGCATCTGTTGTGAACTCTGACCATGCACACAAAGACATGAATCGTCATTGGAGGAGGGTGTTGTATAGAAAATTCAAAACGTCTGTTCTTGGCATTCCCTCCATATCCTTCCTGGCCAGGACCTCCCCATGGCACATGGCCTCACAAAGCTCCTCTGAATGGTTCCATTTTCCTGTTTTACTGCTCATCAGTGGGCCTTCTCAGAAAGCCTAGCTCATAGGCAGGTAGTGGGCTCTTCCTAAAAGGACCTTCCCCATCTAAAATAAGGCAGATGAGTTTGCCTCTCCTGTATTCTAGTTACAACTCATTTTCATCCATAACTATTCTCCCTAACGTGGCTATTCTGGCTTCATAGGGCAGCTCTAGTGTGTCCTACAGTTGGAGGGCCAACTCAGATCCAGGACTCAAAACCAAGGTAAGCTGAGAGAAGGCCAAACACTGGGAACTGTTTCTGCTGTTGTCTGGCTTGTTTTGCACCAGGGGGCAGCAATGCCTCACAAATGCCTGGAAGCACTGCAATGTTCTACAAATTCACCTTTCAGCAATGCTCCCCACCCTCTTTTGTATCTTCTTTTGTTTTGTTGGAAAAGGGAAGAATGTTGGGAAACACTTATGATCCTCACTGTAATTATGTAACTATTGCAGGGCAGAGGAACCTTGGGCCATCTTTAGAAGTATCTGGGAACTTAGGCAGAGGAGATAGGATTAGCAGGGGCACTCTGGCATGCCTGTACCTGGGCCACACACTCCTGCAAGATGGAAGCCATCTGGGTCTGCTCATCCCAAAGGATTTTGTACAGGAGGGCACGGCGTTGATAGTCATTGTTCAGCAACAAGATGCCCAGATCCCTGTCATCTGGGAAAGAGGCTGCACCCTGGTCTTCCAAGGCTGAACTCTCATGAGGAACACTGCAGATAAGCACATGCAACAATCCCCATGCAGGTCCCAGAGCACTGTCTCCAGGAAGTGCACCCCACTGTGGGAGGGCAAAGGGCCCCGAAGACCACATAGCAGTCCCTACTGTGGAAGGGAGTGAGGGAGGCTGCAGAGAGATGCTGTGTCCCTCTCTCCTCCTTTGCTCCCCACACAGCACTTGGATTGGGAAAGAAGGGAATGGAGTATTGGTAGAGGGTGGAGAAAAGAGATAGAGGGGAGATGAGAGGGTAAAGCACAGGAAAGGAGGTCAGTGAACAAAGCACCCACCTTGCTCACCCCTGTAAACCCTGCTGTCTAGGAAGCTAAAGTCCTTCCCAGCCTGCTGGTTGTGACCCAGCAGGTTATTCTGTCACTGCAGAATACCAGTACCCCTCATAAGACCACAGGATAGGAACAAGGGACACAGGCAATACCTGAGAAGGTGGCTGGGCTGGTAATTGCATACGTGGGCATTGTCAGTGAATATGTCCTGCTGGGCATCAGAGTCTGGGGAGATGGAGTCATGTTCACTGCTGCTGCTGCCACTGCCTGTACATACCCTCAGTGAGGGTGCGGTCAGGGTATCAGTGACACACTGGACATCCTCTGCAGGGAGACAACCAGATCTGGATTGCTTGTCCCTCAGAGAGGGACATGGTGGGGACCGAGACTCTGGAAGTTCCTCAGGCCCACGTGCCTACCCAGGGCCTTGCTAATCCCATGCTGCTTTATCGGGTGGTGTAAACAGCCCCCTCCCCCAACCCTGGTGAAATTATAGGTCTGGAATTGGTCCTTGGGAAACACTGATCCAGGTAGTCCAGGTCACACCTGTGGGGTAAGCTATAGAACCACTCTGCCAACAGCTTCTGACTCCACCTGAATTAGGGAGAAGAGAACAAATGGATGTTTAGAGGCCACTTTAAGTCACTGCCAGTTAGAACTTATAGCCCCAGAAGATGTCACTGGGTTTTGGAGGTCTGCAAGATAGGCACCACAGGCAAAGCTCCCAAACACCCTTTAATCAAGGTCAGAATCAGCACAGGATGGGCCAGGCTCTGAAAATGAGGCACCAGGCTCTGCACTTGCGAAAGACAGAAAACCCGCACTCAGGTACCTCTAGCTTCTCTCCTTTTCACATTCCCAAAAGAATAACCTTAACAAGCCGTGGGGCATCACAGTCACCAGAGAGGCTAACCTATGCCTCCACCAGGAGATGTAAGAACATTTATTGGCTGCGTTTTAATAACCTCCACACCAGCACCACCCCTGCTATTCTGCACACAATTAGGGCATGTGGGGATCTCTGTGCGCTGGTGAGCTGGCACTCCCTGTAAGCAACAGAAAATCCTGGGGCCCAGACATGCCCCCCCCACACACACACAGTTGTCCAGCTAGGCCTCACCTGAAGGACTGAAAGCAGTTCTCCTCTTCCTGCCCTTATTTGTCTGCTTTAAGAAATCCTCTTTGAGTAGGTCAGCAGCGGTGACCCGTCTGCTAGGGTTAGGCTCAAAACAGGATAAGATGAAGGCTCTAGCTTTAAATGAAAGGGTTCGTGGAATCTCGGGGTGGCTCTTAGACAGTCCCATCTGCATTGAAAGGAGGGGTAACAGATGTGTTAGTAAGGGCTTCTGTGATTGCTGTCCCCATACCCATTGCAATCTTATTCCTGCCTCTCCCATCCACAGATGGACTCCACTTCCCCATGCCTGGAGTCCTGGCTGGTCTCTGGGGACTCTGCTCTGACATGGTGAAGGTTTCAGAGGATAGGTTCTAAGGGACCTCATAGCAACTGCTCTAGTACTCTTGGAGGCCTGAGACCACCACACTATATAGGAACAGAGCCCAGCGTAAGTGACCATGTAGAGAGCCTTCTCACTGAAACCTCTGCCATGAAATACACCCTCCCAGACAATTATGCCCCAGTTAAGCCACCACATGAGTGAGCTCTCTTCAGCAAAAGAGCCAACAGTCATCTTGCAGTGAGAAATAAAGGATTATTTTAAGCCTCTATGTGCATGGCTGGTTTGTTACATAGCAGAAGAAAACCAAGAAGGACATGGTACATGGCTTGGGGTAGAAGAGTCTCAACCTGAGGACATACAAAGGTAACTGCTACCTGTCTCTGAAATACACACCATATTCTTCCTCAGTCTTTATTCATGCACAGCCCAGATCTCCAATCTCTAGCTCTAGGCCACAAGCAGATAAAACCTGAAGCTGCTACCTCACAGAAAAGTGTCTCATGTCTCATCATCCATAACCAATGCAGCCTCTTCCTCTTGGGGTGGAAGCCATTCTTTCTTCCAGATCCATACTCCTTGCCAGCTCCTCAGCAGTCTTAGAGCCTGGCTCAAGCTTCCTGTGTCCCACTGTGTGGGATCTAGGGGCTGCAGAGCCTTATGACCTCATCTCCTATAGGTTCTCGACCAGGTAGACCTGTCCCATTCCCAGAATACTTATAGAAAGGAAAGATAGCTCAGGAGTTAGGGGTTTTTGAGAACACTAAATGCTGGATGGAACCCACTCACAAAAATTTGAAATTCAGGGGATACTACAGGTGCCATCCTTCACCTGAGTAGTGCACATAGATGTCATCTATGCCCACTGACCTAGGGTGTACAGAGACAAAAATTCAGGACAAAAATCTAAAGTGGAAAGAAATGGGCTTTCCCTCAGGCTCTCAGAAGCAAAGAGCAGAAGTGGACAGCACCCTAGGACCCTGCAAATTTTTAAGGGTGTTTTTCTACAAATCAAAAGCACCATGTATTAGTGGTCTAGGGCTGCTACATAAAACTACCACAGTCTGGTATCTGAGTGGCTTAAACAAAAATGTAGCCTCTTAGTTCTAGAAGCTGGAAGTTCAAGGTCAGGCATTATCAAGGTCAAGATTTTTTCTAAAACTTATAATGAATCCTTCCTTGTCTCCTCAGTGTGTTTGGGGCTTCTAGCCTATCTCTGGTGTTCCTTGGCTTATAAATTCATCACCTGCCTTCCGTCCCTTGCCTTCACATGGCACTCTCCTTGTGGGTCTTCAGTATTCTCTCTATATATGTTTCTTTGCTAAAATAGCTCCTTTTTTAACAATGTCACCAGTCATGTACTAGAGCCCACTCTACTGACCCCATTTTAACTTGATTACAGTTATCTCTGTAAAGACCCTATTTCTAAATAAGGTCATGTTCTGAGTTACTAGGGGTTAGGACTTCCATATATCATTTTGGGTGACACCAACCTATAACCGTCCCCTTAGGGGAAGAATAACTTTTCTTTCAGACACTGCTCACAAATTTCTTGAAATTTTCCTGAAGAAGTCTAGGATTCCAAAAGTAAATGATGAAGGACATCACTTCATACTTTTTTGCTGGCAATAAAAACTAACTTCATATGCCATACAAAAAGTCAATAGATTTTTTAAAAAATTTGTATAGCTAATTAGCTAATCAAAAACAGGAGACAGAAGAATAGGGGAGTTGCTTATGCCCTGTGGATGAAATGAGAAAGTCATAAGCGCTCAGTTGGGTTCCTGAATTTCACAGGAATTCAACACATCAGAAAGCAACCATGACTCTTAGGTGGGTCCCCTGTTGTTCTCAACATCAGCTACTATTTACAGTGATACCCTGGTTCACAAACAACTAGAAAAAACAGCCATCTCCATGTTTGTGCAGGAAAGATGGCTGTAGTCATGTTGGTCACCCAGTGCAGAATTTGCAAACAAAAATGAAATTTTGCCAAATACTTCTGTTTGAGAACCAAATCTTTCACGAACAAAAGTGTTCATGAACTAAGGTACCACTATATTTAATAGAAACCAATTGTAAGATCTTCAACGGCCCCAGCTGAGTCCATTGTGGATCGTTACTGCTGGGTAGGGAAGGTTGTTGTTGTCATCTGTTCATAGTTGTTTAGGGATTACAAGCGTCAGACTTGTTGACTTGAGGTCTTGGCTTTGGAGCTGCCTGGACAGCTGCTGTAAGGGTAGAAAAGTTTGAGAATATTCTGCAGGGATTCAGAGCCCATTCAATGTGCTTTTCTCACATGCTGAGATCTTAATGACCAAGGGGGCCAGGCCAGAGAACCCACCAAAGATGCAGGCCATAAGTGAGGTAGCAGAGGATCCAGGAAGAATCATCTGGAACCATGCACTACCAGGCTGTGTCAGTGCACCATGGTTCATTATCCATAATCAATGGCCACTTGGCCTTTTGTGACCTCTTGTAGTGAATAAAAATGTTCCAGGGAAGGTTACGAGCTGGTAATGGATTCTCAGGGCTGGAGCCCCTTGAATGTTTTTAGGTATTCTTGCATGAGAAGCTGCAGGCATAACTTTTGGCACACAGGACTATCCTGGCATCAGCTTCCTATGGGGTTACTAACAGGTATGTCCCTTTCTAAGACCCCAGGTTCCCAGTGGTAACACCATCACTCTGTCAGTTTGTGCTATGTTAGCCTCGACACATGGAATGCCCTTCTGTCAGCTCTGGGAGGATTGTTAGAATGATAAAGAACATATTATCTGACACCTAAAATCCCACTTCTTCAAAATTCAGTCAGAAACCTGTCCTATAAAGACCCAGACTTTATACTATAGATATACTTTATACTATAGATAAAGCCTCACTCTGGATAAGGGAAATCACAAATGAAAAATATGAGGCTTTATTTTCCCTACTGTATATAAAGTAAGAAGATACCCCCCTTTTGCTAGAGAATTAAGAAAACTTCTAGTTGTGTGTTCTTTCTTTGTGTCTTTGGGATGTATGTAAATCTTAGCAGCTAAATAAGCCTCTTGCCAAAAATATCATTCCCAAGGCCTGGGAGCTACTACTTTGATTTGTAATCATGGAGGAGGATGATACTTCTATCAGTTTCTATACAGGAAAGGTGCCTAATTTTGTGGTTCCTTGCTCCAAAACTACCTCCTGCCATAAAGATATGATGACTTTTTTTTTCCCTTTGGATAAAACCAATACCCTAACAAATGGTTGCTTCACTTATCAGGTGAATCTAAGATAAGACATATGTGACAAATGGTGCTGTCAAGTCTGCTTTCATGAGGACTTTTTATCCTGAGAATATGATTTATAATGGGTTCTATCTGCTTGGCTACATAAAAGGGTGGAAGTTTAGCTGGCACTTGGTGGTGCATCCCTATAATCCCAGCTATTTGGTGGCTGAGGCAAGAAGATTACAAGTTCAAAGTCAGCCTAGAGAGCTTAGCAAGACCCTGTCACAAATTTAAAAAGTAGGTAGGGCTGGGGGTTTTGCTACATAGTAGAGCCATTTGCCTAGCATCCAGGAGGCCCTGAGCTGAATTTTCAGTGACAAAAATATAAAAACAAAACAAAATAAAACAAAAAAAAAATAAAGATTTCTATCTTTGCAGTGTTAGTGGATTGTCTGATACATCTTCATTATGGTCTGACACTTATGTAATAAACTGCTTTCCCTCTTTCCAACCTCTGGATAGATTTTCTGGATTAAGAAGAGATTTTTTTTATTTGCATTTGTCCAACACCTAAACCACCCAAATGAGCAAGCATGTCTTACTTGGAACATTGCTGACTGTGTTTCAGCAAGCTCACGAATTGGAGGCCTGCTGGTGGCCATTTCTATGATGATGCAGCCCAGGGACCAGATATCAGCTGGAGTACCATACCCGTCAGGTTCTTCATCAGTAATCTCAGGAGCCATGTATTGTAGAATGTCTGTGAGGAAAACAAATGAACAAACTTTGATGACACCATATTGCTAAAAACAAAGTGACCATTAGTAAATAAGTGTGTGGCTTTAACTGCCTCATCAACGGTACACGAAGCCTCTTCTTATGCATAAATAATGCAGTGGTTACATCATTTTTTAAAAAAATGGCTCAATTCTGCCTGGTCTGAATCAGGAAAATCTATGGCTGTGTCAATTTTGGTTCTGAGAACAAATGCCAAGATAAGATTAGACATATAAGAAATTTATTGGAGAGATCTATGAGGGATACAAGGAGAGGGGGCAGGACCAGCAGGGAGTGTGTCAGAGTGCGATGCAGGGCTAGTCCCTGGGAAGGGGCGGAAGGAAGAAGAACTGAGTAGCAAGTATTTTTAGATGGCACAGCTCTGAAAGCACTTCATCCAGGCTACCAGCCAGTCCCTAGCCAAAATGTGTCTACAAGAAGAGTCCCACTTTGGGTCTAAGACCTTTGCCAGGCTCAGCCATTGGTAGGAAGCAGCCTAGGTAAGGTGTAACCTTACCATGAACATGACTATGATACCAAGGGGCAGCACCTGGCACTGACAGTAAAGTAGGTTCCTGCTGCAAACATCAAAGAAGTGAACCAAGGGTTAGAAGGATGTCCACATGAAAGGAAGAGACTGAACAAAGAACATGAGTGTAACATACTGAGTCTGGGAGCAATAACTAATGTTTGACCCAGGGCAGGGTATAGGAAGAATTAAAGTGGCAAGGACACATCCCAGATGGTGATCTGGATGTTCTGAAGGCTCTGACTTTGGACTGTCTTCAGAGTCATGAGCCACCAGTGGTTGCCACAGGGAAGACAGTGATCAGATATGGCAGCAAGAAAGCAAAGGGACTATTGATGTGTCTTTTCCAGACACAGGGCAGGGAGCAAAATCTTTAGTTTTCCTTGAAACTAGGCATGAGGAATGAGGAAATTTGTATGTTGACATCAGCATATGCTATGGTCTGGCTAATAGGTTTAGAATAAACAGCAAACCAGAGATCATACATAAGGTATGACTAGAACTCTGGTGTCCAGAGAAATGAAAGGGCCTCTCTCTAGATCAAACAACCACATCAAGTTTCTTGAGTTTTAATCAATAAAAACAAAATGTTCATCATTTAAAAAAATAAAGATATCAATAACCCTTCTCTTGAGCATGCAATGTCTTATTAGCATTTTTCTTACCTACGAACATTTTAAAGGTACTTAGGACAGCTGTGACCAAAATGATGTTCCACACATGTGTACTGGGCTGCTGAAATGTGATTAGTGAGAATAAAGAAATAAATTTTAAATTATTTTAACTTTATTTCATTCCCATTGATTTAAAGTTAAATACAAATCAGGCTCTATTAATGAGCCCAACTTTCTCTGGAGCTGAAAACCTAATGGGAAAGTGTTTGGTTAATTTCAGCAAGATGAGGCTGCATCACACTTGATACATTGTGATTAAATCCCAGAAAGGAAACTTTCAGTGACACAATATCTGTTATAAGCTGTTGCCATTATGAATAAAAAAAAGAGAGAGAGATAGCGAGAGAGAGCGAGAGAGACAGAGAGAAAGAGAGAGAGATGTTGGCAGGGAATGTGCCTTCTAATGAGTCCATAATTCATTAATTAAGGAAAAATTGAACATTATACTATTTACTAAGCAGTCATATCTCAGCTATGCTCTGAGATGCTGGATCTGGAACTCCAGAAACTCCATTTATTTTTTGCCTAAGCTCCCTCTGAGGCTTTGCAACTAGGCAGCAGTACAGAGATCCTGAAAAGCTGGAGGGGGAACCCAGAATCCAGACCATATGCCATTGCTTCCACTATACTATTCATTATAAGTGAATCACTAAGTCCAGTCCCATACAACATGTGGTAATTTAACAAGGATGAACTATCAGGAGATAGGGATCACTAGAGACCACCCTGAAATCTGGCCTCCACATCTAACTTCTGGTTGGCATTTGATGGCTTCCAATTGTCTCCATGTAGTATTGTCCATCTATCCCTCATAGCTCTGTAAGGATAGGCGGAGGAGACTTGCAATAGTTAATTGTGGTATCATCTGGAATAATAAATGCCTAGCTGACTGGTTTAGCACACTTCTGAGAGTGTCTGGCTGATGAACTTAATAAAAAGGGAAGACCAACCCTGGGTGTGGATGGCACCAACCAATTCACAAGAGTCAAATAGTGCAAATCACCCAAATAATCACTACCTGGCAAATGTGGCCCATCCATACTACTGAATAGTATTCAGCCAGAGGAGGAAGGCCTAATACACACCATAGCATGGATGAGCCTTGAAAACATTTTGATGGGAGAAAACAGCTAGATGCAAAAACCACTTGTTGTATTATTTCATTTGCATGAAATATTCAGAACATGCAAATCTACACACACAGAAAATGTATTTTTTGTCTCAAGCTGAGATTGGAACTGGGATTGATTGCAACGGGACCTAGTTGGGGAGGGGGCACTTCTTCCTAACCCAAAGCTTTTTGGGGCATCTTTGGGGGTGACAGAAATGTTGGAAAACTAGACTGTGGCTACATGATGCAATAAATTTACCAGAAACCACCAAGCTGTTCATTTCAAAAGGGTGCTTTCATGATATGTAAGTTATATTTCAACAAATCTGTTACAATCACCACCACAACAAAAAAAGAGGACTAGGTAAGTAGCTCAGTATGCGACACCTGCCTACTATATGTTTAGCCTATGGATTCGATCTCCCATACTGGAAAGAAAAAAAAAATTAAAAATTGCTTTAGAAAAGTCCTAGGAACACAAGATGGGAGTGATTCAGGCCAAGAAATTGCCTAAAGCCTTTGGTCACCTGCCAAGGCTCAGATGACCTCAAAGCATTTACAGGGAAAAGCTCCCTATATCCACCCAACCCAGAGTTCTGCACCAACCAGGTGAGGATTTTTTTTTTTTACAGAACTGCTATTTTGCAAAGAGTAATTATATGCAAAGGAATTTCCTAACCAAAATGAGACCCCTTGTTTATTATCCCCCAAACACCGCTAACATTACTTTGCGATGCAAAATTCATGCCTCCTTAAGCCAATTACTTGGGAAATTCGATATACAATAATGAATTATACATGTGTTTTCTTTGTGATTTTTCTCCTTGGAGATGCTAATTATAAGATAAATTGCTGGGGGATTTTATGTTTTTGAAATAACTCCTTGTCATATCACAGCCTCTCTTGCTACGTATTGCCAAGCTAATTGGCAGCTTCCAAAGAGGAGCATATAAGTTGTTTCAATTAGGATAGTAAAATGCTAAGACAGGAAAAATGGACAGTACTACATATATATTCATATGTAAATATAATATGTAATATATGTAATGTATATTTATATCAGAGATAACTGAAAATTCAACATGATCTTTTTGTGAGAAATTCTGATAGTACCATATTGTGGTATTTTCCTATTTTGAGATACACATACACTCCCTTGTGTTACAACTAAAAAGTCATTTTTGAAGTATTAAAATTCTCTTTTGATGGGAGCACAACTCCACTGGCTGTGGGCATCCAGCAGCTGACACACAGCAAGTCTCTTGTTGAAGAAAAGCCCTTCAAAGCTGTGATATTATTCACTAAAAATAAGGTCCAGGTTGTCCATCCTATAGCTTTGGTGACTACAGAGATAGAGATCAGTCATCTGCCTTTTATAGCTTATTTCAGAGCTATAAGAATATGATGGCTGTTTTATAATTCTATCAAGCAAGGGTCTTTATGTTACTCCTCAGGGAATCATAAACCTTTCCTTATTCAAAATCAGTACTTCTTTCCAAGGATCAAAGTTTTGGCTATCATTGCTTTTAAGCAGGAATTTCAAAAGCCATAGATAGCTTCTGAGTGGTATTTTACCTATTGGTCTGGTAATTAACAACTGGTTGGCAATTTTATGTCACCCTGTGAGTTCATTCTCTCTCAACATTGAAATTGTTCCATCACTGATACATGCAAAGAAAACGCAACTCTTGAAATTCACTTAAAATGTCATATTCCCCCCACAGAAATTATCCTCCCTGGGATAATCATATCGAAACACAAGGTGTCAGAATTCCCTAAGGTAACAAGTTATTTTTATAACAAACCTCAATAAAATGTCCTAAGCAGTTGTCTGAAGGATACTGTTATTTAGATTTACCCATGAGTTTGGGCAATGTGCTACCAGCACTACCATTTTGTGGACTGGATAAGAACTCAGGAAAGCTCAGCTGAACCCTCTAACTACCCAACTTCTGAGAGGCAAAGAAGAATCTAGAACAATCCTGCCACAAGTAGCTAGTTCTGTGTATGTCTTCGATAGTACTAAAATAATTTGAGGTCAGGATAATATATTATCCACATGAAGTATCAACTGTCACTTTGTGCTAGGAAGGTGCCCAGTAAGTACCTCTCACATACACACAAGCTTGTATGGATAACCCTTAACTCCAAGGTAGCTGTCATGCCCTGCTTACCTGTAGAAGTATCCCTGCATGGATTCACTCTTTCAATATGTCTGAAGGTTCCACAATCGGAGATTTTTACCACTTTATTGCAGGTGCTTACCAGAACATTATTACCCTTCAAAAAAAGAACAGCATTGAGTGCTAAAAGACAGATTTAAACAAATGGACATGACATAGTTTGGGACCTTGAGACAGTGTCTCTAGGAAGACTACACTTTGCACTTGGGGTACAGTCCTGCCATGTCAGCCCCCTCTATAACCAAGTCTCTCAACACACTCTACACAGATAGCTTTCAAGACTCAATGGGAGCTAAAAGCCAATACCTTTATGTCTCTGTGTACTATCTGGTTTTCATGGAGATACTTCAGGCCTTTCAGGATCTGCTTGGTGTAAAACTTGATAGCATGCTCCTGCATCGGCCCCCATTTGTATTGCAAGAGAGCAGAAAGGCTTTCTAGAAACATGAACACAGCAAAACACGAATCAGTGTGACAAAGATTAAACTGTAATAGTTCAGCGAAATAAAATGGAGTAGTGTTTAAGCTGACATAAACACTTACACCAACATCATCATCATCACACCTGGCTCAATGTAACACAATCCCTCCTTCTCTACAATCCCAAAGAACACACTGGAAGGAAGCTGTGCAGCTGCTCTCTGAACACCTGGTTAGCTGCACAACATCAGGAGAAACACTGATCTCTGAACACCTGCAGTGGAGTGGTAAAAATCTCCGATTTGGGAACTTCCAAACACATGGAAGGAGTGAACCCATGAAGGAAGCAGACCTTGTGGGACCCCTGAAATTCAGTGGGGCCAGCTTTGGGTTTAGCTCTGTTTAGCTACATAACATCAGGAGAAACACTGCTCTCTGAACACAGAGGTATGGCCTGATATCATACATTACTTGGGTCACATGATCCTTGCTGCCTAACCAACTTGGCCATTCTACTTAGATCAAAGCCATATTTCACACCTTATCCTATAATCAGAGATGGACAAGACTAGAGTGAGGCATCCTTGAGAATGACAGAGACTAGCATTAGAGAAGGTAATGTCTGTCTGTTCTCAAAGGCAAGCTACAGTACAGGACCATCTTGATTAGCAAGCCCTTCCCTTATTACTTCATTAAATATTGAACTTTTGGGTCAACAGAAAACTTCCCTCTAGATGTTCTCACCACCTGTCCCAGAAAGGGTGGTGTGAGTACAGGTGGGTCTTCCTGCTGGCAAGAATGAGCCCTCCAGGCATCAGCTGCTCTGAGCTGCACGACCCTACAGTGTTCTGGGACCTTGCCATACTTTAGTTTCCCCATCTGTGAGAGTAGATGGACACCCACCTCTAATCTTATTACCTTTTAACCTAACATCAGAAACAGTGACAAATGTGAACAGCAACAGACATGTTTTTGGCTATACTATAAGCTACCTAAGGAAAGAGAGACTATTTGTCCTCAATGTAGCCTTCAGTCTAGCCTACTGCTTAGCTCTTAAAATACAGAGTGATACTCTTAAAATAATATTAGTCTCTTAATAATTGTCAGTTGAAAAAATGAATACAAATTTACAATGGAAGGTTTTACATCCATATTCAAATGATTGTAATTATTTAACGAAAACATTTTGTGAATTTTATTATTATTTAAAGAGCAGGTATTTCCTGGGCTTTTGCTTGCTGCCAGGCAGTATGAAAAGCTGTACCCACATTATCTCATTTAACTCACCCAATGATCCACCAAGATAGGGTTATTTCAGCAATTATCACAATTATAATACCTATTACTCCAATTTTATTTTATTCGTTACCAAAAATTGACTTCATGACCTTGAGCTTGCCAGGAGGACGCTATGCCTGCTGAGATGTACCTCAGCCCTTTATTATTCCAAGTTTATAGTTTATTTATTCAACCAGGAAACTGAAGGTACAAAGAAAAGAAGTTTACCAAGGTCACACAGTTTATACATGGCTGGACTGGTTCAAACTAGACAGCTCCACATCCAAGGAACTATTTCTGATCTATTTCTATATTCTATTCCCTACAGTTAGAGGTTTTTTGGGGGAAAGCCCTGGTGTTTGATTTCATTATTAATATGTTATTTTGTAATGTCACTTTGACAAATATGTGTCCCCTGTTCTCCAAAATGCCTTCAAACCACTAGACTCTGAAGAGACAGGAAACTGCTTTCTTCATCTCTTTGTCATTGATGCGGACACTGTAGATAATCAATGCGTATTTGTGGTTTGAATAAACAAAGTAGAAATAAAGAGTTTATGTGATATTTCAAAAGTTTATAGAATTCTGAGGAAATCATTGTTTTCCAACCTCTAAAAAGTCTGTCACTTTTAAATGCAGGATAATTAGTGATGCCCATATTGTATTTTCATTAGTAATTTTCAGAATATGTGAGCAGAAAACACTGACCACTCACCTCCAGACACCTGCTCCATAAAGATCTTAATGAAACCACCCTCAGAAACAGAGCCTAGGTACTGGACAATGTTGCGGTGTTTGAGGTACTTGTGCAGGACTATCTGATCAAGCAGAGGTTGAGAGAATCTATAATGAAAAAAAAGCCAGTGTCACCTACCAAATTCCAATGGCTCCAGACCCCACAGCACCTCACCAATACCTTCTCTACTGCTGGAAAATCCTTATTTCCGAAAATTTATTCTCCCTTGCCTTCCATAACACTACTCAGCATCTCATCTGAGACAGGGAATACAGGCTGAGCATCTCTAATCCCAAAGCTCAAAATCTGAAATGCCCCCAAGTCCCAAATTTAGCCAAGTATGGCAGCACATGCATATAATCACAGCACTCTGGGAGGTTGAGGTAGGAAGATTATATAAATTCAAGCCAATCTGGGCAACTCAGTGAGACTCCATCTCAAAAAATAAAAATAAAAAAGGGCTACCTCAATGCAAAGGCCCTGAGTTCAATTCCTAGTACCTGCAAAATACATACATACACACATTTCAAAAAATCTCAACCTTTTTTTCTTCCTTGGTACTTGAACCAAAGGTGTGGAACATGATGAGCAAGTCCTCTACTTCAAGTTGTGATGCAAGCCTTTTAATTTTTTTTTTTTGAGAGATTTAGTCTCCTTAAGTTTCCCAGACTTGCCTCAAACTTGTGATCCTCTTGCTTCAGCCTCTCAAGTAGCTGGGACTACAGGCACATGCCACCACATCCAATTCAAAATCTAAAACTTTTAGAGTGCTTACATAATTCCACAAGTAGGAAATTACACATCTGACCTCGTGATATGTCACAAGCAAAACACAAGTTCATTATTATACAAAATTACCTTCAGACTACGTCTCTAAGGTGTCTACAAAAAAATGAATTTTGTGTTTAGATTTGGGTCTCATCTCCAATAAGCCTCATTTTGTATATGCAAACATTCTAAAATCTGAAAAGAAACTGTCAAATCTGAAACACATCTGGTCTCATGCATTTTGGATAACAAACACTCAAGTTGTAAAAATATCAGCTGCATAGGGCTTCTGAGGGCTGAAGTGCATCAGGGTGCTCTGGCACCAAGTGGAGGGCCTGGTTTGTGGTAACTACTCAATGACTGCTGTTCTTACTGTTACTACTGCTAAGGCCTGAACCCTCCAAACACTTTTTTTTATCTTTTGACAATCCTATCTCTTCTGCCTCTTGTGCAGGGTAGAGTTCTGGAAGATTCCATTCTCGGCTGCCTTCCAGTCTTACATTAAAGACTACAGACCACTATAGCAGCTACCTAATGTGCCATCTATCCCCAGTTTCTGGATATTTTAGTGCATCGTTCTTGATCCTTAGGACTATTTCTTCTTGAAACACACAAATCTCCATACCATTTCCCTCTGTAAATTTGACATAAAGACCATATTGTTTCATGTAGCACACAAAGACCTTCAAAATCAGGCCAGATGATGCCTTTTTTTGCCTCAAGTACCCTCTTTTGCCCCACATCCTACATCCAAGTGATTATTTAAAAATTGCTCTTTGAACATGCTTTATATTTTAACAGTCTAGTTTTCCCTAAAGTAGGCCTCCTTTGCTGCCAAGCAAACTCCTACTCATCCCTCAAAGACCAGCTTGGAAAAGATTTGTTTTTTTTCAAACTTGCCACCACTCACGGAAAAATTCAGCCCACCTCTGTGTTCTAGAAATACTCTGTATACCCTTTTATTATGGCACTTGTCACTTTGACTCACAGGCATCTGCACTGCTCACCCATCTGGTAACACCCTGGGATCAGGACAATATCCTAGTAACTTTTCAGTCCTCAAAGACTCTTAGAACCTGGCACAGAAAAGATGCTAAATCATTGTAAGTTTAGTCAGCAAATATAGAGAGTTGGACAAAATGTTCTCTAAGACCCTTTTCTGGTTCTAAAATCCCAGTAATTGCTGTGGGCAATGAGCATCTGGAACCATCAATGCTACCAAACTAAGGAGGTGGCACATGCCAGAAATTTCCCCAAATCTATACAAATGTTGCACCTTATATATCATGAGAATGAGAGACAGAATACCAGGTCATATTCTTGTTTCTACTCATCCTTGGAGGAGTCATTTTATCTTCTGGAGCCTTGGTTTTCATAGTGATAAAATGAAGAAACTGCCCTAGTTCATTTCAGGTCTTATCTTATAATTCATATAATCACAAAATGCTCTCTCACTGAGTATTCATAAATGAATGACTTAACAAAGGATTTTAGTTGGTACAAATCACTAACTGTGATGTGCAATCCATCCTTAGTCAGTGATCACCTTAATGGAGGGATGTAGGTATATACCCTTGGGTGAAGTGGAAGGTCACAGTATTTATTACAACTCTGTTTTGAAAAACCTACTGTTTTATGCTACATTTAGTTTTCTGTAATTATGTATCCAAACAAATCAAAAGCATTTTTCAATCGTTATAACGGGAATTTAAAAGCACTCGGCACAGGGTGGAGATGTAGTTCATAGAGAGCACTTGTCTAGCATGCTCAAAGCCCTAGCATTAAAAGAAAAAAGGAAAAAAAAAGTTCAGTCACATTTAAAAATATTTAGAAACAACTACATAGAATGTAAAACTCCAGAAGCAGTGGATAGGTAGAAACAGAGTTTTCTTTTAAAATACAATCTGTGGGGCTGGGGATTTAGCTCAGCTGCATAAGCGCCTGCCTTGCAAGCAGGCAGTCGTGAGTTCGATCCCTGGTACCGATAAAAACAAAAAAGACCAAAAAATAAAAATAAAAAAATAAAACACAATCTGCAATCCAAAACCTCTAAGTGAAGTTGTGCCATTATCTGAATTGAATTCTAAAAAATAGCAAATCACCCTTATTACAAGAGAATTACAAGGTGTGTGACAGCATAATGCTCTCATTCTTAAATCCTCTGCACCATCAGTAGTAGGCTCATGATTTAGGGGGCTGGATATTAAGTACAGAATGTGGAAGCCCACAACTTGCCTTCTATCTCTCTCTGGAATTTCTTTGATGGCTATTTGCCCTTGATTGCTCAGTTTTTGGCCAGCATACACAATTCCATAGGTGCCTTTTCCCAAGACAATTCTCTTCCCATTTGCATCATGGTCATATTCAAACTAAAGCAGGAAAATCAAAGAGACAAAAAAATCCTTCATATAACTTGATGTAAAGAAACCCTCCCCAAATTCAAAAGTTGTCTAGTAATTTTTATAAAATTTATAAACATTATTTGAGCATTAAGCAAGTCATGGTAATTAAGTCATATACTTTTTGCTCAAATCACGGTTCTTCAGTCATATACCTTTTGCTCAATAAGGATTCTCAGTGGGTCATGCATTTATAGCTTTACTTTATGAAATGGAATCCAAGAAAATTAAAAATATGAGTCACATATAACTTACCTGGTTCACCTTCTAGAGGTTTCTTGCCATTTTAATGCTGTAATTTAAAACCGCTTCTAAGCATGTTCAGTACTCCAAATAGTGTCCCTATCAACTTTTCAGGAAACAAACCTCTTTTAATATCCCAGGAAACAACTGAAGGTCAATAAAGTTGTCTTAATACAGAGACTTATGCTGGATTTCACTCCTCTTTCAGTAATATAAATCTAGCACATACTACAGATATTCAATTTACAATTAGTATGGCTATACTGTTGCTTCTGTCTTATCACCAAAAGCTCTGACACACTGCTGCATGGGAGTTGATTTTTCTCAGTGAGTAATAAAGGTAACCATACAGGCTGAAAAATATTTATTTGAAGCAGAGAGGAAGCTATTGTTTTACATGTTCCACTGTATCTAGTACTGAAATGCAGTTTATTAACAAAATAGTTCCTACTTCTAAGGCTACACATGGCAATTAAGAGAACTAAAGGGTCTCCATCATTGTCAGCTTTAACTAGAAACTGGCATGTTCCCCAAAAGATGTTTTTATCTCACACCTTTCTCTACTCCCCCACATACATTGTCTTCAAGGTCTATCACTCAGTTCATTTTGAGTGTATGCTAATAATTCTAGTACTTGACTGAATAATTAACATGAAGTCCTTTAATAATTTCTGAAGGAAACTCAAGGAATTCATTTCACTCTAACTTGGAAGTACAAAATCTCATTAAATTGTGATCACTGGGAAAAACTGAATTAATGACAAATTAGTAATTAATTAACATGTGTACAAGATTTAAACATATGTAAAGTAGTATAGTTCCTGTGGACAACTTTCATGTCCAAAAAAGCTTATGATACTCTTTTCTTTAAAAAAAAAAGATTTAAAAACTGTTATATTTAATATACTATATGCACACAGATATAATTAAAGTCACTTTAAATGAGGTCTGCTTCTAACTGACTATTTCTTTTGAACTCTCCTAAATACTATCAATTAGTCCTATAAAAACTTTTTCACAGACTGCTCACAAAAGAAAATTTTAGTCTGATCTATACCAGATTTTTCCTAAAAATTCTGACTAAAATGATCCCAAGGCAATGAGATTTCCCTATAGCAATATATTAGTCTCTGATGGCCATGGGTGGTGATAGCTGTCTAGTTCAGAAATTAGCATTTTTAAATGTTCAATAAAATGTTTTTACATGAAAATTGGGATTTTTACTTTAAGCATCAAAAACAGAATAAGGAACTCTTTCCAATTTCTAGGCCTTCTGTGACTTACGTCAAATGTGTCTCCACTAGTCTCCCTCTCCGGCTCCATTGTAGCGTCCACTGAATCGGTAAGCATCTCTCTGACGAAACAGTAAAACCTACAACAGTAAATGTCACAAAGGTGTTGCCCATTAGGATTACTCTTGTTCTTCACCTTTAACTTAGCTTTATTACATTAAACCAGTGATGCTGAACCTTTTAGAGCTTTCAGCCCACTGCAGCATGTGTGCCATAAGCTCATCACCACCATATTAAAATGTTTTGAAATATAAACCAGTATTTTACAAGGCATGGAACAATCAAAATTCACTCCTTAACATGGTACTGTAGTGTTCATCTAATCTAGATCCAATACACGTATGTTATCTGAATCTTCTCTATACACTACCTCCATCAACTATGGACAATAATGCTGAGCACCTTCAGGAACGGAGTACCTGTTACCTCCCCAAAGCGATTCATTCCTTGAAGAATTCAACAAAAAAAATTTTTTTATTGATCTGAAAATTTCTTTCACATGTGTTCCATTTACAGACTGTTTAGAGTCAAACCCTTCTGTGTTTATGTATCACATTTCCTTCAATCATCAGCTGATGGACACTTAGGTTGTTTTCATGTCTTAGTTATTGTGAATAGTGCTGCAATAAACATGGGAGTACACATGTCTCAGACAGATTTTAGTTGAAAGTAGGAAAGTGGTTACCAAAGGTTGGAGAGAGGAGTAGAACAGAGGGATGAGGAAAGGTGATCAATAGGGACTGTTATATTTAGGCAGGGGGAAGAATTCTGGTGCTATATTGCAGAGGAGGGTGACTATAGATAACCGTAATATACCACATACATTTTTTGAAAAGCTAGAAGAAAATATCTTAAATGTTTTCACCATAGAGAAATAATTGAGGAGACAGACATATTTACTCTGATTTTATAATTATACAATGTATATATACATGCCTCAAACATCATAGAGTACTCAATAAATAATTTTATTTTATGTATCATTTAAAATTAAATAAGAATAAAGTCAAAAATAATCAAATAAATATGTCCCTGTTATTCTTCAGGCCTGGCCCTGATACTAGCATTCCAGGAGTGGCTTAATCAGTGCTAATAATAGCATGGCCATCTCCTCTCAAGTTGTAGACAGTGCAGATCTCAGCAAGATTTAAGATCTTGTATAAGGGGAGGAAATGCATATGGTTGCTACATTATTCTGTTGATACAAATTAAGCCTAATATTAACCATTATCCATAAATATTTCTCATATATATTGTTGAGCCACACTGGCCCCTTTCTAGACTGTTGTAGTTTATTTGTATATATTTTTAATCAGGATTTTCTCTCAAGATGGCAGGGAAGAATACTGTATATTTTGGAATAATTTACACAAAACATTAAAATAATCTTTTTCCTAACTAATCTATCCCACCTTTTCTCCTAGTATTTGAACACTGGAAAACCCAATAGACATTTTAGGAAACAAATGATATGTACTAATCAGAGTAACTAAATTTTAAAAGATGATATTAATTGATATTTAAACATATGGAGCAACTGAAACTGTCCTACATTGCTGGTGGGGTGTAAATTCATGAGACTACTTTGGAAAACTGATAGTATTGACCAAAGCTAAATATAAACCCGACCTATATAGCCCAGTAATCCACTCCCAGATGCATATGCAACAGAACTCAGTTTTGTATATATGTTCACCAAAAGGCATCTAAAAGAATTTTCATAGCAGTTTTATTCATAATAGTCCCAAGCTAGAAATAATCCAAATGTTTATCAATAGAAGAACAAATAAATTGTCACATGCTTACACAATGAAAAACCATAAAAATACTAAAAGAATGAACACACACATATATCAGGGCTGAATCACATATAGCTACTATTTTAAAGAAAAGAAGGAAGAAGGAAAAAGAATATGAATATTTGATTCTTTCTATGTGAAGGTGAAAACAATCAAAACTAATCATGGTAATGGAAATCAAAATAGTTATCACTGGTGAGGATTTAATGACTGGAAAAAGGACACAAGGCATCTTTTGGGGATGATGATCTTGGAGACAAGTATCTGAGTGTAGATATACATACATTCTTATCTGACTGTACTAAGTGAAATTTATACAATTTACTTGCATGTGTACTACACTTCAATTAAAAATTATTAAATAAACAAAGTAAAGCATGGTGGCAAATATTGGTAATTCCAGCACTATAGGAGGCTGAGACAGGAAGATGGATAGTCAACCCCAGCCTGGGCAATTTAGGAAGACCCTGTATCAAGCTAAAAAAGGGCTAGAGATGTAGCCCAGTTTTAATCCCCAGTACCAAAAAAAGTATGGCAAAAAAGGCACTGAAATATTAAATGAGGGTCAAAAAGGTGAACTTTTTCAATAAAAGCATGTTCTACCTCATATTTGGCAGCATGCTTCCCAACTCTGTTGATGGTTATAATTCAAGGGTTCTCTAGTCTGATATTTAATCCAATTATAAACAGTGAGATAATGATTGTCCGAGACATATTGAGTTAAAATGTCTCAAATATACTCAGAATAAAAGAACTTCCTCAACCCAATAAAGGCTATCTATGTAAAGTTGGCTGATAACATCATTCTTAAAGAGGAAATCTAGGCTGTTTTCTCCTTTAGATCATGAATAAGGTAAGGCTGTCTACTCTCACCACTTTTATCCCATGTTATACTGGAGATTCCAGCCAGAGTAATTAGGCAAAACAAAAACAAAAATCAAAAGCATCCATGTTGATAAGGAAGAATTCAAAATACCTGCAGATGACATGATCATATAGATAAAAACTCTAAGAAATTCAATAAAAACTATTAGAAATAATAAGTTCAGCAAGGTTGCAGGTTTCAGAATCAACATACAAAGATCAATTGTATGTTTATACATTATAAATAATCCAAAAGTGAAATTAAGGAAACGACTCTATGTTCAATAGCATCAAGGGAATTAAATACTTATTTATATATTTGACAAAAGCCATGCATGACTACAAGTCTACACTGAAACTATAAAACACTGTTGAAAGAAAGTCTAAATAAATAAAAAGGCATCTTATGTTCATGAATTGGGAGGCAACATGATAATATGGCAACGCTCTCAAACTAATCTAGATAGCCAACATGCTTCCTGTGAAAAGTCTAGCTTTTTTTCTCAAACTGACAAGCTGATCCTAAAATTCACCTGAAAATGTAAGCACTTCCAATAACCAAAACAACTCTGAAGAACACGAACAAAGTTGGAAGACTCACATTTCTTGTTTTTACAAAGCTACAATAATCAAAGGATAGGCATATAGATCCACAGAATTGAACTGAAAGCACAGAAATAAACTCCTAATAGTTAACTGATAGTCTTAAGACTTCCAACATCATTCAGTGGGGAAAGAATAGTTATTGTAATAAATAGAGCTGAGACAAATACATAAGCAAATATCCTTGTTTTTCAAAAACATATCACATTATTTAGAGGTAATGCAGCATTATGCCTACAACTTACTTTTAAATAGCTCAGAAACAAGAACCATATACATACAAAAAATGTAAAACAAATGTGGTAAAATGTTAATACTGGAGTAGTAACAGTCTGGCAGTTTCTCAAAAGGTTAGAGTTACCATAAGACCCAACATTTTGATGCCAGGAGAAATAAAAGCATATGTTCTCACAAAACTCATATGTTCTCACAGAAGCAAAACTCATAATAGTCAAAAATGGAAGCAATGCTAATAGCTGTCAATTGAACAGATAAATAAAATGTGACATATTGACACAATGGAATATTCTTCAGCCACAACACAGCAACAATTATGGTAAGTAGAAAAAGCCTGTTACAAAAGACAACATATATCTTCTTAATTTTTTTTAATTAAAAAAATAAAGATACAGAATTTCAAAACAAAATAGATTAACACTGACTAATATATTGTGAAATGTTATCTTCAAAGTAATTCAGATTATAAGATATAGGCATGAAAAACACAATCAAAAGCAAAAACTGTTCTTTTTGATGAACAGAGATTAATACAGTATCCATCATGTGTATATATATATATATATATATATATATATATACATATGAATGTATAGACACACATATATATGAATATATATATATATATACACAAACATATAATCTTTTCTCTTCTTTTTTTCTCATTTCCCCTATCCCAATTGTTCTTCCTTTTTGAGAAATTTCTTTCCTTTTCACTTTCACAATATCTGTTGTACATTTTGAATCTTATTTACTCTTTCAGTTTTTTATACTAGGAAGACAATATGTTATTTACACATGCGAGTCTGATTTATTTCACTTGTGAATATGGTCTCAAGTTGCATTCATTTACCTATAAAAGCCTCAAGTTTATCCTTCTTTATAGTTGAGTAATACTCCAAGACCACATATTTTATGACTCCACGTATACACAATGTCAAAGACAGGCATATTCAAAGAGAAAAGAGAATGATGGTTGCACAGGGTTTTGGTTATGGGGGTGAGCATGGTAGAAATGGGGAGTAATTGCTTAATAATACTGGTTTCTTTGAAGGAGTAATGAAAATATCCTAAAATTAGAATAAGATAATGGCTGAAAATCCTGGAAATATACTAAAAAATTGAGTTGTAGTCTGTTGTGAGGTATGTGGATTATATCCCAAAGCTATAAAATAAATTTTCTATAAATTAAAATTTCAAGAAAGCTAGTAAAGCAAATATTTTTCACAACAAGGGTCCTTCAAAAATGATTCACTATAAATTGCAATTATCTGAGTCAGCCATTAACTCACCTGTTACTCTGGTTTTCTGTAGAAAAGCAGATTTGAAAGTCATCCAAATTATTGTAAAGAAAACAGCACCGTCCATCAGTCTTGGAAATGCTATAATTCCAAACACAATATTTATACATAAGATATACCAATTTTAAATTTTTTAGAAAAGATAGTAATAGATTTTCTTTCATTTTACAAATTCCTGATTTGTTAGTCTATTAACAAACACCCCACAAATTTGCCCTTTAGTTCTCTATGAAATTTCAATACCAGGGCTATTTATCTTGTTTATGTTTGAGTTGGTGTTTATCAACTGACTTTAATATGTATCAAGGACTTCTTCTATACTCACTGTTAAGCTAAACATATGGGCAATAGAAAGGGGTATACATATGACCTTTATCCTCTAGGAGTTTAGAATCTCAAAAAAAGGCAAGTATTTGTAAAGCAATTTATTATGTTAGCAAAGGCCTCCCAGGACATGGTATTTGTGGTCACACAATGCAAACAGAATAAACACTGCAGCTTTGCTCAAGAGAGGCCTTTAAATACAATCTGGTGCATCTCCACCCTATATCTGGACCTGACTCTACAGTACCACAAACAAGAAACAATCAATTTGCTTGAACATATCCAGTGAAAGAATGTCATCACATTTCATCTGCTGGCAGATTTCACTGTTAGAAAGTTTATCACTCACACTCAGCCAAAGCTTCTGTGATGGCCCTCATTCTTCCAGGTGGTACTATACAGAATCAGTGTAGGCTGATTCTCTTTCATGATTAGATCTCCAAATGAAGTCACTTTATCAGGTCTCTTCTATCATCTATCTAAGTCATCTATCTCCACTTGAGATCCAACACTGCCACTCTTTATGCTATAAAGGACATGACAAAGTGTTGAAACCACAATCATCAGTGTAATTAAAATAATTAAGGTTAGGTATCCAATAGTCCAAGGCAATTAAAATAATTAAAGCTAGCTCATGCATGATTAAGTACTAAAAAACAATCTGTAAAGAAACTATCACAATTCATTAGACCGCAGTAGGAATGTCTAAAGTATACCCTTCATGTCATACCACTATCAAGTTCTGAGTCACATCAGAGAAGAAACTGAGACCTAAAGTGGCTGAGTGACTTCCCAATGTCATACAGCATGTGGTATTAGAAGTCACAACTACTTCATAGCCACTCTTACCCTTGGACATGCTTTAGGGTGATGAATGCAGTTCAGGGGTAGCTGTACTTGAAGGAAGCCACAAATGGTCACCATTCCTGATCCAAAAAGTAACTACCACACTTCTTGGAATCCCACCTCTCTCCCTCCCTAATATCAATACTCCTGGCTCTATTGCTTTTCTAGGAGGCCCCACCAAAGTGCCATTCATAAATAACTCCTGGATTCAGCTCTTGGGGACCCTGAGCACTTGAACATTTCTGGCCCAAGAAAGACACATCTTCTCTTTTTAAGGATGCAAACTTAAGTTTGAGACAAGAGAGCTCTGCTGCTACACATGAGAAAAGACACTTGTTTTAGCAAAGCAAGAAGCTCTCACTGGTTGTACATTATAAACCTTGGGCAGAGGAAGAAAACAGAAAATAATTTATTTTGGGTTCCATCAATAAGGATAGCACATCTTATGAATAAGTAGAAATGATGAAGTATATAAAACATTATCATTAGCTGGGCATAATTGTACACACTTGTAATCTCAGCACTCCTGGGAGGCTGAGGCAGGACCCCAGCCCAGGCAATTTAGCCAGACCCTGCGTCAAAAGCAAAAAATTTTTAAAAGAGCGTAGAATATAGCCTAGTGTGAAGGCCCTGGGTTCAATCCCAACTATCAAAAAACAGAAGCAGTAGCAGCAACGGAAGATTATCATTATTTGTATTAAAGTAATAGTTAAATTTACTCTTATGTTCTTACCTTAGTCCCTTGATAGAAAAGGCTGTAAAATTCCACTCATGGGTTTGTGTCTGCAGGTATCAAACAGAAATCAGTAGCTTGATTTTGCCAAAATTCATTTTTTAAGATTCATTTTATGATCAATCATTCCTGCTATTTAGAGGTTAGGTGTTAGAACAATATACTTCGTAAAACTTAAAACATTAGAAACACTTCCTATTGTGTATAAAAATTCACTAGTAATTCTAATCCAGTTTAGAAAAAACAACATAAATTTGAAACAATAATTTGAGATAGAAATAAGCACTCACCTCACTATATACATACTAGCAGTCTCTCACCTTTTGTCAATAGGGTAGGTAAAATCTAAAACACATTTGGAAATAGCCCACCTAAACTGAGTAACTTGCAAAAATGTTTGGAAAGGCATAACTGTGACAGATACACCACCATTCATTGATCGTCATTTCCTTTTTTCCCTGAGCACACATCTAAATTACATTTCCCAGCCTCCCTCAAAGTTAGACGGAGCTATTTGATGGAGTTCTAACCAATAGGTTGTGAGCAGGATCCATGTGCACCACCTGCAAGCCTGGCCCATAAAAACCTCCACAGCACTCCGCTATCTTCTTTTTCTCCAACCACTACAAGATGGAGTGGGGCTTCCTGCCAACCCGATTATAATATGAAGCATAGACAAACTTTTCATATAAGATGTTGCGATTTGGAAGCTGTTTATTGTAGCAGCTGGCCCACCATGACTGATAGAAAAACTAACTGGGATTTCAATCTGTACTGATACACTTTAACAAATGAAAGCAACTCTGTTCCTCCATTGCCCTTCCTTAAACTTTGCACAAAGGTAAGCCTCAGAAGGACTACTTAAAATCTAGTTTTAGATAAGCTATTGCAGTGCCACCAATAGACCACAAATGTAGTAAATAACTTTAAAGAGGAAAATTCGTTTGACCTCACGTTGCTTGCAAATGGACATTGGGAGTATTTATTTCATAGAAATAGGCAAACATAGTAAATTAGCCCAGATAGAAATCAGCTTGCACCCCCAGCTTGCTGTTTAACATTTATCAGCATACTACTGTATCCTTACTTCCACTATGAGTTTCTGAATCTTTGGCTAGTATATTAAGGACTTAATCTCATTTTACAATGATGCTGCAAGAATTTGTATACATGTGTGTGTATTCTCTTCCCACCATCCATTAGGAAAAAATGCAGCTTTATAGAAAAATGACACCACCTTCAAAGAAAACATGGTTGCCTTTCACAGTGTGTGCAATTTCAAAATTGTAAATGAAGATAAACGTGAAGATTCCTTTCAAAGGAAAAGGCAACAACTATGAGCTCTTTGGCAAAACATTTTATCTGCAAGGGAAACTAGTATTTGTGACTTAAGAGTTCTTTTTCATTTCCATTTTTAAGAGAAAAAAATTAAAACAATGATACAGAATTTCAAAACAATAGATTAACAAGTTAACACATTGTGTATTATCTTCAAAGTAGTTGCTCAAATTACAAGATACAAGCATGAAAAATTGATCAAACAATATAAACACAAACCTTTCTTTTCAGTGAACTAATAAAAGTTAATAGTATAACTACCTTGAATGTGTCTGTGTGTGTGTATACATATATTTTTTTTTCCGTTCCTCTTTCATCTTTTCTGCTCTCCCTCATTGCAGTTTCTTCCCCATTCACAATATCTATTGTATATTTTGGACCTTACTCTTTCAACTTCTTATACTAGAGAGACAATATGATGTTTACACATGCATGTCTGATTTATTTCACTTATGCGTATGGTCTCGAGTTGTATCAATTTCTTATTACAGATTCGATACAAAGTAAAACATTTTCAACTAGTGAGATATATGTACCAACAGAAATTTCTATTAAGAGCCAGCAACCATTATAGGATTCAAAATATTAGAATGCCATGAGATCAAAACTATTTTGGTTTAAAAGTATGAAGTCACTTTAATACCATTAGTTTTTTTTCTGCAACCACTTGTCAAAATATGAGATATTTTCATCAGTATCAATGAAATAGAGATTACAGATCCAAATCTTGAAAATTTTCTTCTATGACTGTGGCATCAATAACACAGAGTAAACAAGGTTGGTATGTGGCATAGAAATTTCTGAACTGAGAACAGGGTGCTCTGCAGAATTGGCATCTGGAGGCCTGCACAAATGGAATAGGAGCAAGATCTGAAGATTTTTTTTCTTGAACTGTGCTGGCTACTGAGCAGAATTCAACTTGTAAAACTATACATTTATGATTTATGCAGTTTTCTATGTATATATTATACAGATAGAATATCCTTATCTGAAATGCTTGGGGCCATAAGTGTTTCAAATTTTTCAGTTTTTCAAGATTTTGTAATCCTAGCCTTGGGAAGGTGAGGCAGGAGGATCACTGTGAGTTTGAGACCAGCCTGGGCTACATAATAAGTTCAAGGCCAGCCTGTCTACATAGCAAGATCCTGTCTCAGAAAGCAACAACAAAATAAACAAACAAAGATTCTGCAGACTTTACTGGTCAAGCATGCCTGATCTGAAAATCTGAAAACTGAAATGCTTCAAAATCTAAAACCTTCTGAACACTGCCATTGAAAAAGTTTTGGATTTTGAAGCATTTCAGATTTTCACTGCAATAACAGATTTATTAAAAAAACAATTAAAAGATAGGCTCATTCTTCTGAGATACATCTGCATGTATTTTATTATAGCTTGAGTTTTCTCTTTTACACTCAAATATTTAATGCACACAGTTCAGGCAAAAAAAAAAAAAAACATGAGCACACCATGGCAGTCCATTCACACTAATGGCTGTCAAATTTATTTACATATGAAGACTGCTCAAATGTAAAATATTAGACAGGATTACTGGCCTTCACTTGACATATAATTATATCTGATAAGCAGTCTCTAATACAAATTTAAACTTCTGCTTGTTTTATGATGTTAATTTTTATTTTTGAAGTTATTGCTTATTTTTACCTGATTACAACATAATTGCTCACATTCTTTTCTTCCAGGAAGAAAAAATTATCTTCCTTCGCCACATTAATGGCAGAAATCTTTCCATACTCCATGGAAACACATGCGTAGCAAATAAGTCTATTTAAAGTGATTTTCAAAGGTGCTATATTTATTACTGCAAAACTTATTTTAAAAACTGAAGTACTTTAGATAGAAATGAAAATATCACTATCACCATGAAACTTCAAATCCATCTGAGCATTTCTGTAATCTCTTTAATGGGCAATTACAAACTTTCATTTTCTGTATTCCTAGTACAACTGTAGAATGGAATGTATGAATTTGATAGTAACTTTTAAAAAAGCAAAACTTTGATCATAACTATTAGAAATTTAAACAAAAATACCCTTAAGTCTGCAAGCCCATTTCCAGGAATCTCTGCTCATAAATGCTTCTATAAACATGGGAGGATGGAGTCACCAGAATGAAAACTAGCTTATCACTGGCAACAGGGAAAAGTTAAGATCTAAGTATGAATCAGCAAGAAAGAGGTGAAATAAAGTAGGTTCATCTATACCAGCAAATATATCATATGATATAGAACAGTGTGTACTGTGTGGAAAACTGTGATGTATGGATGAATTAAAAATAAATTGAAAAACAATAAATATGTGCTTTTTAGTCACACTACAATAAAATATCTGTGTATATAGAAAATTTATATGATACACATACATTATATATGTATAAGTACATTTAAATAAAGGATACAGGCATATCCACCAAATCATTGAGGATGATGAGGGGGACAAGATGTGAAAAATATGGAGGTACTTTCCCCGTATATTCCTTATCTAGTTCCTTACTGTTTAATTTAAAAATAAAGTAAGCTGGATATGGGAGTTCATGCCTGTAACTCAGCACTCATGCATTCGGGACCAGCCTGGGCTACAAAGTGAGTTCAAAGCCAGCCTGAACTGCATAGTGAGACTATGTCTCAAAAAGACAAAACTAAATAAATAAACCAAACCCTGTTTTTAAAAAATACTTACATCTGTTATATATAAACATACTTACCCATATAAGCCCCTCTGATTACATATATAAACAAATGAAAGTGGAAAATCCCTTTCTTTTCACCTGCAAAGGTATCTTCTCATACAGTCCCATAATTTGAAAATTAAGCATAGATGCCTATTCATTCCAATACTACCACATAGACTCCCCTACTGGAAAATCAAATCTTTAATTAAATACAGAAGAAATAGAAATGTTTATAATTTTTTTCTTACCATTTCTGTGGGTGAGACATAACATAAATACACTGTTCTCTCCTCAGCTTCACTGTTGATAGACACATAAGAAGGCTGGTAGACACCAGTTGGCTCTATCACCAGAACCTGAAATAAGAACAGATTCTTATAATACAAAGAAATCTAAAACAGGTGATCTTGCCGAGTGAGCAAGTGGGAAGACTTATACTCAACCAATACTCATCAAAGACCAAGTATGTCAAGCATGGAGCTGGAGTATATCAAGACATGCAAGGCTATGCTAGGGCAGGGCTGTGCTCCAACAGGGCAGATGGAGCAGCAAAGAGATAGAGCTATGTAATCTAATGTCATGTAGTGCTCTAAAGAGAATACTAGAGAAGACAGGCAGGTGCGGGTATACGTGTTTCTTCGTATAGCATGGCCAAAAAAGGCCTGCTTGAACTGGTGACAGAAAAAGAGGTAAGTTAGCACTTTTGAGAGAATTAGAAAGTAGAATGGATGATGAGCAAGTGCCAAGTCTATGTAACTGATGGGAAATGAAAAGTGAGTGTCATTTCCATTTGCAAAGTGTTATTTGGTTACAAAACAAAGGGGAGAGGGGGAATAGGAGGGAAAAAGAGAAGGTGGTTGGTGGAGAGGTGAGAAAAGAATGAGAGAATAAATAAATCTCCCAAATGAAACCACATGTTTAAGATTGCTAAACCTGAATATATCTTACACGAAACTCCCTCCAAACACTGGGGAAAGCTGCATTCCTGCAAAATCCTCTTCAGTGCTTACTGCAGGCCAGGGGAACTCCCCCTCCCCCATAGGCTATGGCTAGAGAGAGGATAAACAGATAAACAGTGCCTTAGTCAACTCTGCTTAGTGTCAGCAGGCTCATGCACTTGCCTCCTGAGTCACTGGCACAAATACACAGTCTACCTGGCAACTGCCCTGCATGCCCACTTGCTGGCTGAGTTTTAGTCACGTATGTGCACGCAGAGGCTGAGTCCACCCTGCATCTGCCGTGTTTGCCAGCTCACTACCTAAGTTACCATCACCAGAGCTCATGTTCAACCTTGGAATCCACTTGTGGCCATCTGCAATCAGAGTTCAACAAACAAACAAACAAAAACCATCAAAACAAATGAGTGGAATGCATTATAAGCCTTCAAAACCAGATAATAGCAAAATCAACAATTGCTACCATAATGTCTCTTGTTCTCTTCAAAATAGTTGTCCATACCTTTACACATATTGAAACCAAATCCAAAATTGAATTTAGGGGGGAAATCATAAAGATCAGAGTGGAAATTAATGAAATTGAAATGTGAAAAAAAGCAATACAGAGAATCAATGAATGAAGAGCTGGTCCTTTGAAAAAATAAACAAAACAGACAAAACCCTTAGCCAAACTTACCAAAACAAAGGCCCATATCAATACAATTAGAAATGAAAAAGACAATATCACAATGGATACCATTGAAACCAGAAAACATTTAACTACAATGAAAAATTTTATTTCAACAAATTGTAAAATCTTGAAGAAATGAACAGATTCCTAGACTCATAAATTACCAAAACTAAACCAACAAGACACAAAAATTTTGAACGGTCCAATAACAAGCAGTGAAATTGAGGCAATAGAAATAAACCTCCCAACTAAAAAAAAGCCATGACTTGATGGATTCACTGGTAAATTCCATTAAACCTTTAAGGATGTTAGATCATCAGTACTCCTCAACACCTTCAATAAAATTGAAAAGGAAGAAAGGGAAAAATGAAAACTCATTTCTGGAATCCAGCATCACTTTGATTCCCAAACCAGATGAAGAACCAACTAAAAAAAAACAACTATAGGCCAATCTCTCTGAGAAATAAATTCAGAAAATGATACCATTCACAACAGGATTAAGAAAAATTAAATAGTGCAAAATTAACCTAACCAAGGAAGTGGAAGACCTTTACAATGAAAACTAAAGAACTCTGAAAAAAGAGATTGAAGAGAACATCAGAAAATGGAAAAATGTCCCCCCTCCTGGATAAGTAGCACCAATACTGTCAAAATGGCCATACTCCCAAAACTAACATATAGATTTAACACAACCCCCATCAAAATACTAATTGCATTCCTCACAGAACCAGAGAAAACAATCCTAAAATTTATATTCTATAGAACTATAGTGATTTTTTTTAAGGTATGGTATTGGCACAAAAACAGACATGTTGATCAATGGAACAGATAAGAGGATCCAGAAATGTCCCAGACATATTCAGCTATTTGATCTTCAATGGAGGGCCAAAAACACGTTGGAGGAAAGATGACTTATTCAACAAAATGGTGTATATTTATATGCAAAAGGTTGAGGCCGGACCTGTTATCTCCTACCATGTACTAAGCTAAAATCAAAATGGATCAAAGACCTAAACATTAAAACAGAAATGACTTACCAAAATAAAATAGGTAAAACTCATAAAAAGTCATAGAGATAGGCATGGACTTTCAAAACAGAACTCCAATTGCACAGCAAAAAGAAAAAAATGGGATTATATCAAAATTAAAAAGCTTTTGCAAAGCAAATAATCAATAGAGTGAAGAGACAACCCATAGAATACGAAAAACATTTTTCCAGCTATTCCTCATAGGACTAATGTTTAGAATATATGAAGAACTCAAAATACTTCAACCATCTAAATTAAAAGACCCAAGCAAAAACTGGGAAAGGGAAATGAATAGACACTTTTCAGAAGCACAAATGGCCAATAAACATACGAAAAAATGTTCAATATCTCTGACCAGAGAATTGCAAATTAAAACAATGCTAAGGCTTTTCCTCATGCCAGAAACATAGCAACCATCAAGAAATCAAGTAACACATGTTCACATGGCTGCAGTGGAAAAAAAAACCCCTCCTACACTGTTGGTAGGAATGTAAACTAGTATAACCATTATGGAAATCAATACGAAGATTTCTCTAAGAACTAAAAATATAAATTCTACTTGAATCAGCTATTTTCTTTCTAGACAAGTTCTAAGAGACCTATAGACATCATATTACAGTGATAGCATCATTTGTAATAGCTAAATCTTGGAAGCAGCCTGGGTTCAAACAGAAGAATGAAGAAAATAGGGTTTTTATACATAATAGACTACTACACTGAGCTATAAAGAAGGATAAATTTGAGACATTGTAGGAAAATGGATGCACCTAGAAAATAAAATGTTAAGTGAAATAAATCAAGATGTGGAAGCTTAAATCCTACACAGTTTCTCTCATTTGAGTAATCCGAAGTTCAAATAAAGAGCAAAATAAAAGACTAATAAGAGAAAACAGGGAGATGGATCTTTTGCAAATGGCAAAGGGTCTGTCTACCAGACCAAAGGTGAGGGAAGTGAGAGAGGAGAAGTGGATATAAAATGATTTAAGCAGTGTCATATACATGTAGCAAACACCCACAATGAATATAAACATTATACACTGTAAACATAAATTAAAAATAATGAAAATGGAGAAAGAGGATCTAAGGATGGAGGCAGAGAGGTAGAGGTAAAGGGGGAATAAAAAAGAATTAAGATATGTTATATACATGTGCCTAATTCCTAAGGTGGATGCAAACTTCATGTACTGCAAAACTGTACTAATGAAACAAAAATTTTTAGAAACTACATGTATCTCCCTTTCAGAATATTCAATCCTTAGATAACACAAACCCTAGTTTCTTTTGTCTATCTTAATGAACCTAATTAGGGGCTGGGGATGTACAAAGTGCTAAGGTGCTTGCCTAGCACACATAAGGCCTGAGCTTCATTCCCAGCATGAAAGAAACAAGAAAGAAAGGGAAGAAAGGAGGGGGGGAAGGAGGAGAAAAGAAAAGAGAGGCAAAAGAAAGAGAAATTATAAAAAGGGGAGGGGGAGGGGAGAGAGGAAAGGAGAGATTGAGATTTAGCATATCTTACTGGAAATCTAAATCCATCAGTAACTTCAATTGTTGTTTCAAAAAGTATATCTAACCAGAAGTTAAATTGTTCTCGCTTGGGTGAACAGTCAATAACAAATTTCTTAATATTCTGAATTATGAACAAGTTCTGAATTATTGATCGCAGGTACCTGGAAAAAAGTCACAAAAATTCATGAATTAGATTCCTGAAGAAATTCAATTCTATTCCCTTTAAAACAAGCTTTCAGGGGCTGGGGATTTAGCTCAGCAGCATAAGCACCTGCCTTGCAAGCAAGCGGTCGTGAGTTTGATCCCTGGTACCGATTAAAAAAAAAAAAAAAAAAAAAAGAAAGAAAAAAAGTGTAAAAGAAGCTTCCCTGAAACATTGTATGGTATACTTAAATTCGTATTATGCCATGAGCACTTCAAAAAACAATTGATTTGAAAGCCACATAACTAACTACAAGAAACCAGAAGAGCATACCATAGCATATAGCAGTTTGACAAAATCATAGCATGGCTTTTTATCAACATTGGTCTATAGCATCAATTTTAATATATAGTATCTAAAAGTGTGGATACTGGAAAATGTGATAACAGCCTTCAATACAAAAAGCAAGCAGCTCTTCAGTCAAAGCAATTACACAATTTCAACCCATTATCTTTTTGAGATAATTTTGATTTACATGAAGTTGTAAGAAATTATGCAGAGAACATTTATACTCTTGACCCAGTTTCCCCCAATGGCAACATCTTGCAAATCTGTAATACAGTGTTACAAGCAGGCTGTTGTCATTGCTATAGTCAAGGTAGAGGCTATTTCCATCACCCTGCCTTTCTATAGTCATGCCTACTGCCTTTCCATCCCCATTATCACTTCCATCCCTGGCAACAACTAATCTTAAACTTACTGTGTTCATTTATTTTTAAATAAAATCTGAGTATGTAAATTTTTAACCTTAAGGAGTCCTGATTCTGCCCACACCTTTGTTGACCTCACCCAGATGAAGCTTTTAGAAACACAGTTGTCCAACAGTAGTGGTCATATTCTCCCTGGTACCCTCTGGGGATGGTTTATCTGAAAACATTATTTTGCTCACTAAACTATCCTGGGAAGGCATAACAAACTTGTTTTGGTACTCATCAGGCCTCAGCTAAACAAACTTTACACATTCCAGAGATACTGAGAAACTTTCTATAGGTCCTTGGAATATCCTCCCTGCTAAGAGTGTGTGAATGTGTGAATGTGTGAGTGTGCAAGTCTGTGTGTGTTTACCTGGGGTTTTGAGCCATGCCAGATGATTTATGCTAACAGTACGATCAACCACACAAACTCTCCATGCCTATGTTATTAGGTTCAGTAGGTTTTCTTGACTGGAAATATCTCTTGTATGTTATCACATATCACTGCTAGGAGAATTAAGCACTGTCCATATCATACCACTGTGAGAAGAAAACTGGAAGCTTGCACATGGTCACCTCTAGACTCTGCCTGATGTGTCATTTGCTTTGGCTAATTTAACCTGTATCCTTTCATTATAACAAATCATAACTATGAGTATAACAGACTTTCTGAGTTCTATGGGCCTTTCTAGTGAGTTATGAACCTCAGAATTGTCTTGGTCTCTGACAACCATTAAGTAACAACACTATAAGTCAGCTTAGGTGCAGATATAATGGGAATGCATCCAACCCTGAGGTCTTCTCACCTAGAGTCAGCAATATCTGGTCTAGAGGCAGGAATATGCCTTAATTAGGATTCTACACATAGAGTCCTAATGACTTCTTAGATGGCTTCCAGCAATTCTAGGAAGGCTGGAAGCCATCCTCACTCTCAGCCTCAGACAGCTCTCAAGAGGATACTATGGTTTCTGAGTCAAATTTAAGATCTTTTGGATTGGGACAAAACGAAGTCGAACTAGATACAATGAAGAGATTATGACTTCTTGGAATTGAACTGGACCACTGAGCTGGGAAATAAGTGGCAAATGAACATGGATAATTAAAGCCTAAGAAATTATTCAAACTGGGTGGGGTGGTACACGCTTATAATCCCAGAACTCCGGAGGCTGAGCTGGAGGATCCTCACAAGTTCAAGACCAGCCTGGGCTACAAAGTGAACTCAAGGCCAGGTGGAGCTGCATAGTAAAATCTTGTCTCAAAAAAATTCAAGTATGTGTTTTTAGTCTAGAGATTGTTTTCCTATATGGATAGGCCCTGTTAAAAATAAACACTCTTTGGTGTTCCTTCAAACCTGCTTATGATTTCTTGAGCAATGTGGGCTCTAAAAGTCCTGTAAATCTATACAATTTTTATTCTTAGTAGTGTGGGCAGAGCAAATAAATAGAGCTATTAAACATCAAAGAGAAAAAAAATTATTAAAGTATGGGGTGAGTTATCTCTAATCTGAGGACCAGAAAACTGAAATACTCTAAAATCTAATACTTTATGAGCATTATGTTGGCACTCAAAACTTTTGGGTTTCGAAGCATTTCATATTTGAGGTAGTGATGCTCAACTGATAAGGTCTATGTGAATATTCCAAAATAATAAATAAATAAAATCAACCCCAAATCTAAAATACTTTCAGTCCCAAAAATTTTAGATAAGAAAACACTAAACTTGTCATCCATAAGCATTTTAGGAAAGTTAGAAAATTCAGATAAGCTATAAAACAGATTAGAAAACTCTTACAGGCTATTTCCCTGAGATAATTAGCCAATATTTTTGAGAAAAATCCCTCATTTATCCTTTAATCATTGTGCAAATAGCTGGGCCTGGTGGTGCACTCCTGCAATCCCAGCACCCGGGAGGCTGAGACAGGAGGATCACTGCAAGTTTGAGACCAGCCTGGGCCACAAAGTGAGCCTGAACTGCATAGACCTTGTCTCAAAAAGACAAAAAAATCATTACATAAATATCTATTGAGTATATATTATAACACTGTAGCTATCAAGAAGATAACCACAATTCAAAAACTGCAGCTTTAGGTCTATGGAGAAGTCTGAAGTGGTCACTACCCCCAGACCTTTCCCTGTGAGTCACATAGCAAACACATACCTGTAACTAACATGAGATCATCTAGAAAAGTGGTTCTCAAAGTGTGGTTCCCCAGACTTAGCATCAGTATCTTGTCATTTGTAAATGCAAATTCTCAGGCTCTATCCTAGACCTACTGAACTAGGACACCTGAGGATGGGTTAATTAATCTGTATTTTAATCAGCAGAGGTGATTTTGATGCATGATAAAGATTGAGATCCACTAATAAGGAAAAATGTACTCTGCAAATGGCTTTTTATTCTACAATAAGCCATGAACCCACTTCCATGTCTAAGTATTCTTACCTATACACTTAAATGGCTGCACAGTGGCCTGACTTTAGGCTATTGCTGTGCTGCCGTTTTATTGACCACACTATTTTAGTTCTAGTATTCATTTGTTATGAACATCATTTTCTTGGTATGCTTTTAAAGCTTTACTATATGTTTTCTTACAAATGTATAATTATATACTAGTACCAAAGAATATTTTGCTCTTGAGGACCTAGACAATCTGAAGAAGTTAATAGGGTTGAGAAGTTAACCTCAGGGCCAGAGTGTATAAGAGTTTATTTTGTGTGCTCATATGTCTGTCTGTCCCTCCCTTGACATAAATGCAACGAGCTCTCCGAGCTGTTGTCGGCCCTAACTAATGAAGAAGTCAAAAGGAGAAACACAGCAGCTTCTTTTCTTTTGTGCATTTCCACCTTTTCTCCTTAAGGGAGCAAGGTCAGATATTGAGATGGCTGATGACAAGGCAAAGATAAGACTTACCAGACTGGAGGCTTCATTCTGAACAACCTCTCTGCTGCTTGAATTGCCTTCTCAATATTATTGCCCAGGATGGTGATGATGATGACCTGACTCACATCCCAGTAATTGTTCATGTTCTCCAAGCTCCCTTTTCTTGCCAACAAACTGTTCAGCTGGGTACCTTTAGAATTTGAATTTTAGAGAAATTATGAAAATCTCTTTTAAGTTCCTATCATAGTATGTAAGACTTTAAGTAGAGGATGAGTAGGCTTTTTATTTTGGCTGCTATCTTAGGTGTGAGAAAATAACTGTTCTTTTTGGAATGTAATGCTACTTATTTGGACACAAATTTTTAAAATTTAGTTTTGGTGGTACTGGAGATTGAACTAGAGCCTTGGGCATGCTAGGCAAGTGCTTTACCCATGGAGCTATTTCCCCAGCCCAACACAATTTTTAACACTAAACTTGTATAACCAAAGCATCAACATCTGCAATAATAAACAGCTTTACCTATTTTTTGTAGTTCCATAGAAGTTTCAAAGTGTTGTCCAGCAAGTATCAGCAAAATTGCAAGATTGGTTCCCGAATAAAGAGATGGCTGGAGGTGAAATCCTCTGTAATACCTATTGTAGACCCAAATTCTTATTATGTTAGATTAAAAATGTATAAATAAGGGTAAAAATAAAAACTATCTTCTCATGAACCTATGGATTACAGTTTCTTTCCTCATCTGATGGAACAGCTATATGAAGTTAACAGATAACTTTTAAAAAACAATAACAATGCAGTAACTTATATTGGAAAGTTTTACAGTTTTTCTTCCTAAGGCTTGTAGTTTTATAATAAAAACCATAACCATCACATAAATAAGGAAATCGCATTACAGTGTTCCAAAGAAATTTAAAATATTATTCTACCACTCAAAAGATGACCACAATTTGATTTCTAGATTTCATTCAAGTTAGATGCCACTTGTACATTATTTATTACATATAAATGACATAAATCATAGGTTATTTCTCTGTATGTCATTTGGTTATATTTCAACATGGAATCATTTTTTCATGTACAAAACCATAATGCCAGAATTCCAAATAACTATGAGAGCAGTGGCATAAATGGAGGGAAAAGGGCAGGGATCTACCACATAAGGAACAAAAAATTTTTTAAAAACTGGGAATATAAATTGTATGAGAAAAAAAGGCTAACAGCTCCACTTTAATTCTTTATTCTTTTCTATATGCAAAGTTTCTCTTTAATAAGCAAGAATGATTATTGAGGAAAATGACTCAAAGAAATGGTAACATGAAAATGTCTTTAAGCAGCACAGTTAATACCAAGGAATTGCAAACCTAGAGTAATTTTATCATTCATGTGACAAGAGATTTGACAATAAAATATTAATACTTGGAAGGAAATTATTATGTCTGTCCAAATATGGCTTTATGAATTTTGAAGCATAATATAAGTTCCCTCAGACCACAGGACACCAAGAAAGTTATTCTTACCCATCACCAAAGTTCCAATTCTAATCTTTTTTCCTTCTGTATGTTTTGAGGATTTAAAATTCCTACTAGATTTGATTTTTAAGACATTTTTGCTTAAAATTAAAAGTCACGGAGAAGAGGGCATAGATGACTGAAACTCCAGTCATAATTATAGTCCCATGTGGGAGGTCAGATGAAAATTGAGGTCTAATTGGCCTCCCCTGTGAGCACAAAGGAGACAGACAACATGCAAGGGTGATGGCACATTGCAGGTTCTAGGGAAAATCAATACTGTGGGAGACAACTCCAGTGACTCCCTTTGAACTCAAAACAATTGCTGTGACTTTGATTTCTTGGAGACTCATTTCCTTATACTGATATGTAAAAGGCTGGCTTAGGGCATTTCCTTCTCTCCTCAATTGGCTCTGAGCATTGCAAATAAGGCTAGCCAAGGTGCTAATGTGCAAAGTCTATAGCCATCAGACAGTCCTGTTTCCTTGCATGGTGCTCTCCACAACACAGGATTGAGCTTGAGAGGTTAGAGTAATTAGCTCCTGGAATGTCAACTGGGTATAAGCCTCAAGATAAGAGGCTATGACTCCCCAGGGCACAAGAGTTTGCATATCAGAAACAGAAGTCATAGCCCCCCCCCCCCAACAATTCCACTGCTATTTTAATTGGGTTACGTAAATTGATCCTTCTGCATATCTTTATCTCTGCAAATTACAGAGATGCCATTCTTGCACCTGGCCAGCCAGCTCACGTTACTCATTAGTCCCAGACATCCTCACTATCACTTATCCTTGAGCCACACCCCTTTTTTCACAAGATAATAAATGCGGAGAGAGGCCTAGGATCGAGGCCGAGGCCGTTGTCCACATGTCCTCATGAGGATTGGACTTAGGACCCCTTAGCTGTCCTTAACTTGGAACTTGTCTCACCATGGATTGCACTGGTGATGGCAGGCTGAAATTAACCTGATGGGATTCCAATAACGTCTCAATGGGATTACAAATATAATTTTTTGGATTGTGAGGAAAACTAGAAAGTGGATTACAATACTTGGATGATTGAACTCAATATTTGGGTTTACAATAAATACAGCTAAGATTAATTTGTTTACCTGAGCATGTACTAATGGACAATGGAAAGCATATGACTTTTGTGTTCCTTTAATTGCTTATACCCATGTCTGGGTGAATAAAGGCAGAATGAACCCGATGCTAAGGGGCTCCTCTTCCTACTAGAGGCAAGAGTCCTCTAGCTGCCACATGTTAAGCTAACTGTGTCTGTCTGTCTTTTGTCTTTGTTTGCCCCTGGGTCAATGGAACAAACTGGCAGAACTAGTGTGGTGTGTGGGTGGTAAAAGATCAGAGTCGGCTGGTTCCCAGATCCAATTTCTTATCATTTTCATCTCTACTACTTGAGTTCAAGATATCATCAGTTCTCCCCTAAATTATTGCAATAGTCACCTGTTTTCTGCTTCTGTCCTTGACTGTTTAACGAGCATAAATTTCACTCATCTCAACACAACTTTAACCATTCCTTCTATCCACAAGTGTAGTGTATTTCTTCTCAACCCTTAAATGGGGCAGGTTGTAGGATTTGCTTTGATCAGTAGCATATAGCAGAAGTGACTGAACATGAGTTTCCAAACCTAAGCCCTACAAGGCTTTGCAGCTTCTGCCTTTAGTCTTTGAAAATGCTGCCTACCATATAAGGAATCTGGTCTACAAGGCTTAGAACCACAAGGTAGAGAAAGGAGGTACAGTACTGTCAACACCAACTGTGAAATGGTATAGGGCCATCTTGGATCTAGCCCTGCCCGACCCTATAGCTGACTATAACTTTAGGTGTAAGTCTAGGTGAAGCCAGCAGTGGAACTGCCTAGAAAACTTACACAACCACTGCTGTTCTTTGAAGCCATTAACTTTTGAGGTTATTATGTTGCAAGGCAGACCTGAAACACTTTCTAAAATATATTCTTTGTATAACATTGAGTATATTCTTGTTAAAATGCATATCAGACCTTGTCACTCCTATATTCAGAATCCTTCCTGCTCAGAGAAAAGAAGTCTCATTTCCCTACCTCTTTATGCCGCTCTCCTTTGCTTATCCCTCACCATCCCAGAGCATGCCCAGCATGCTTTCTCTTAAAGTATTTGCCCTTGCTGTTCTCTCCACCTGGAACACCTTCTCCATATTTTTCTGTGAAGCACACCCCTCACTATCACGTCTTTATTTGCTGTCACCAACCACTCTAACACTGCAAACCTCCCTCCAAGCCCTCTTTTTCCCCTGCCTTGCTTAACTTTTACCCATACCCCTTACCATTGGTTGAAATCCTGTAATTTTACTTTGTCTGACTTTTGTCCTGAACAATGCAAGGCTCCTGTGGGCAAGGATTCACATCTGATGTGCCCAGATTTGCATCTAGAAAAGTTTCTCATATAAAGTAAGTCCCCAACAAGCATCTGTTCAATTGAATGAATAAACAAACATCTTATTGGGACAATGATGTCCTGAGGAAGGTGAACAAAGTTCTAGAATGGGTAATGAGCAGCATGCTAAATCTTCTCCTGCCTCATAAATTAGTGAACTTATGAGTGTGACCAGCAGAAAACCTTGGTTCTCATAATTTTCACTTAGAAGAAAAAAATCTGGAAATTCCCAGGCCACATTTACTGCAAATATTTTTCACTTCCCACAGACAGGCACACACACATGCAAACAGGGAAGGACCCTGGATGCCCAGACTATTCAATTCTGTTCTTGCAGAGACACATGTGCTATTTACCATGCAATGGCCTTGTCTCGGCTGATATCATCTTCATATTCTGAATCCAGAAAGATATCCTTGTAGATCCTCCCACATAGACAAAGCATGTCAGGGGCTGGTTGCTCGCAGGTCTGCAGAACGTGGAGCAGGACATGAAGTGCCCTCTCACGGTCACCTATGCTGTTTCTCCTGAAAGATAAATACTGTAAGATCACAGTTGGAACACAACAGAGGAGTATACATGCATTTGTTCTTCTGAAAGACTGGGTATGAGGGTGCTGTACTTTAAAGGAAAAAATATTCTAAATAATATTGCAATTTTTCTTTTCACATCTAGCAACTGCTTAAGATCAACTCCAGGAAGTCTCATATAGTTCACTCAGTCCGTACTTGATCCTATCTCCAACAAATATATCATAAGAAAAGAAAAAAATAAGGGCAAACCAATATAATAAAAAAGACAAGTTCATATAGACTTTGTCTGGACTGTGATACAGACAAACCCACTGTAAAAAAATAATTGGGAAAATATGAACATTGACATAGAGGAAATATTGTTAAATTTTAGATATGATACATAATGATGCTTTTTTTATAAACTGTCTTTAACTTTTATAGATTAAAAAATGGGTAAAATGTTATGTCTGATTCATAATAAATCCAGTGTTAGAGCACAAAGGAGTAGGAATAAAGGGAAAACAAAACTGACAATGCAATGATAATTATCTACATGAATGAGTGGAACATGGGAATTCATTATAGTGATGGTTGATTGTATATGTCAATTTGACTTGGCTAAAGGGAGCTCAGATAGCTGGTAAAATATTATATCTGGGTGAGATTACATGAGTACTCAGGAAGATTAGCATTTTAATCAGTAGATTAAGAAGATCTCCCTTCATTTGCTTTGTTCTGTTCTCTATTGTTTTATAATAAAAAAAGAAGACCTCTCTTCACTAATGAAGCAGAGTATTATCCAACCCTGTTGAAAGGCCCAAATAAAACAAAAAGTCTGAGGAAGGATAAATCACTCTCCCTTCCTTCCCTTCCTCTCCCTTCTCTCTCCTGTCCTTATCCTCATTCTCATTTTTATTCCCATTCATTCATCTTCCCTCTCTCACCATCCCTCCCTCCTTGAACTGGCACATCCATCTTTGGCCCTCAGACATTGACATTCCTAGTTCTTAGGCTTTCAGGATTTGAGAATTCTGCCAGGGGCACCCCCAGTTCTCAGGTCTTTGAACTCAGACTGAATTAAACTACTGACTCCTCTGGGTCTCCAGCTCCTCACAGACAGCATATCATGGGACTTCTTGGCCTCCATTATCACATGACCAGAGTTCATAATATGTCTTATGTATCTATATACTCTATTGATGTGTGTATGTTGAGAACCCTACCTAACACAACTATTTTGGAATATATTTGAAACTTTACATAATAAAAACAAAAATGCACTCATCCTGACTCAATAAATTCCACTTATAGAATCTGTAAATATTTAGAATTTTTTGAACAAAGATGTTTGTGAGGAAGTGAAGTTGATACAAATGTCCAATAACAGAAAAAATGGCCATATATATCTTGTAGCAACCCAACCATGGACTACCATGCAACCCTAATAAAGGAGCAGATCCACATGTAATTATATAGAAGAACTTCTTAGCATTGCATGGAAAAAAACTGCAGAACTAAATGAAACGCATGACACTACTATTTGAAATAAACACTATTTACATGTATGTTTATGTACATGAACAAAAGCCTGCAAGGATACACATTATACTGCTCAGAAAACCACTGCTAGGATTTATAAAAGATGGCCCTGTATATATTTTGTTAATAATTCTTCTAACAAATAAATTATCCTAAATACTTCTTGATAATTTTACAACAGGGTGTTTTACAATTTCTTTCCCAAGACCATGTATGTCATCACAAAAAACTACTGCAGTATCCAAGTAGCCTGATTAGGATTTCTCCACTGAGGTTCTGTAATAGAATTAAACTCTAGAGCAATTCTCTGTAATAGAACTAAATTCTAGAGCAAATTATTTGATTATTTTAGTGACTATTTTCTTGGTTCTCTCAAGGATAGTACAAGGTTAGCTCCGTTCAAGAAACATGAGAGAATTTCATTGATTTCATACAATGGATGCCACAGGGCATTTGGGGTTAATTCTCCTGTTGGAATCCAGCTTAAGCAGAGAAGAACTAGACAGTGGCGCCTTGTGTAAACCTGCAAAATTAAGTCTTTATTCTTATTGACTCTTTCCACTTTCTTCCTTAGTCTTATTTAATATGTTTGATCTCGTTTGCCATATAGAATCTAACTTAACTAGCTACAAACCAGGTATCTTTTTTGCACGGAGTACCCATGATATTCTTTAATTTTTTAAGAGCCAATGGATACCAATCCAATACAAATTTATAGAAGCATTTAAATAACTTCTAATGTCTGTGGCGAGAATATAAAAAAAGACTAAAATTTTAATGAAGTACAAAATTTCTACATCTGTTATTACTCTACTTTTGTTTGTTTGGGTTTGTTTTGTCTTTTTGAGACAAGGTCTTGCTACGTATTTCAAGCTACCCTGAACTAACTATTTAGCCCAGGCTGGCCTCAGTCTCATGGTGATCCTCCTGTCTCAGCCTCCTGATGGGATTACAGGAGTGCACCACCATGCCTGGCTTTAGCCTACTTTCGACGTGTGACATATTCAGGATTTTGCAAAGAATGTATTTGTTTAAATGCTTAATTATTGATTAGAGTTCAGATTGGGTTCTTTTCTTTCTGAACCAGTTACATCGAGGTTTCTCTTAAAGTTTTTCATTAACTTGCAATTTACCCTTGTTGCTCAAAACAAAAGGTCTTTTGAAGTCAGTGGTCTCCAAGCAGGGAATTCAAAATGCAAATGTTCTATTTAGTTAGACCAGTATTCTGAATTCCTATATTCAGATTACACTAGTATACAAAGATAATAACATCCTCTTTCCCTATTATACGTCAATACCGTTTCTTAAACATCCTTTACAATCTATAAGACTTTACCAACTCCTTCAAGTCTACAAATTCCTTTGAGAAGTGGTCCCATCCTCCATGCTTAGCTGCATTGCCTATATTTTTTTACCTGCATCTGTGTTCTCATTGCACTGAATGCTCCATGAATGTACCTTTGTACACGAAGAACTCTATACTCATACTCTGATCTGGCCAAATGGAATGGCCTTTGCACCATCCCTCCATCCCCCACCCTCTCCCATTCATGAGGTTATTTTTACTAATTCTTCAAAATAGTCCAGAAGACCCCAAAGAGGCATCTTTAAAACTCTCAAATGGAATGATTCTCTTCCTCTTCTAAACTTCGTATCACTTTGGACAAACTTTAATTAAATCACTTACTATTAAGATTTATTTATGTGTCTCATCTCACAGCCAGAATATATGTTCCAAAGACAAAGTTGATGAGGACAAAGACTGTGCCTTGCCCATTTTCATAACCTTCACATTTATCATACAACCTGGCTCATATTTGATGAATAAAAGAAGAAAGCAGATTTAACAAGTGGCATGATTCAAGACTCTACATATACATTATCATTCTTACCTATTCATTGCAAATGCATAGTAGAATTTAATATTATGCTGGTAAGCCACATCACACATAGGCAGCATCTCCAGTGTTTCTACCAACTTGACCATTGCATCATAGTCCTATTGGCAAGAGGTCCCAAAATGAGAAAGACAGGAAACAGCATTTTGTATATTTTTCTTAGTTAGAAACATGAGAAAGATTTTAGTAAAATTACTTGTAGCCTCTACTAGAACAGAAAAAAAGATGAATATGAGAGGGGAGGACAGAAAAGGAATCCCTGATGTAAATGGCACATGAGGATCAAAGAAAAATTGTTGGCCCAAAGGCAATAAAAGAAATCAAGTGAGTCTAACAGAGTATAGGAGAGTTATTACCATTAGCAGAGCTGTGTATTAAAACTAGCTGGACATATAAATACAAGAAAACATATTAGTCTTTCCTGTTTTTGCTAGAATCAATCAAATTAATCTAAACCAAGGTTCAACATTATCAACATAATGGACCCAGAACATTCCATAATGAAATATTGTCCTGTACACCATCCCTGGCCTTTACCCAGTAGAAGACAGCAGGAATTGGCTAACCTATACTCAGCTTTGACACCTAAATGTCTCCAGATGCTGCCAAATTCTCACAGAGAACCACTGTTCTAAATACTGCATAATTATTCAGGGAAAAACTGCTACCATGTATGTCCTAGTTGTGTCTCCTGCTATCATACTAGTGATACCTGCTATCCTTTTTCATCCAAGCTTAGAATTATGGTATTGGCCCACTTGGTGCTAGCTATATTCAGCAGAGGAGGGCCTCCTACTGAAAACCCATGCTTGTCTCATGGCTCTGCACCTGATACAACTGCCCCAGGAAAGAGAAGGCAGGGTATTAAGGAACCTCCTGGATCATTTTTGGACCTGTAAGTATCATCAATAGAAGGTTCAGACATAAAAGGTTGCTTCAAGGCAAGGGAAGAAAGACTTCAAGAAAGAACAATCTCATAGGGGCATAATTTAATCACTATCATAATCACTTGCAATCATAGCACTTGCAATTAAAATTAGTTAGCTGCATCTGTCTGTGACTAGGTACATGAGTTCCTTAGTGGTGTACTATTCTTGGTCCACATTATAAGTGGATGTCTCCATTTTTAAATAACTAGGGCAAATAATTCTGACTTTGTAGAATTCTACAAGTGAGGTATGTAACCCTGTGTGTCTTCAGAGGGAAAAGAGGCAAGACACCCTTAGAAATGACTCCATAGCAAATTAAATTGGAGGAAGAAATGCTTGATTTCCTCCTTCCTGGCACCTAACCCCATAAGCCTTGTCTCAAGAACTCTCCAGTATCTTATGGTACTTATCTTAGAATAAACATCTGCATGCCCTGGGTACTGTACTGTACATACCTCTGGAATCCGTGCTCTGTCACTAACAAGTGATGATAAACAAAAAAGGAAGTGAAAAAGGCCTAAAGGAAGTAGCAAAAGAGTTAAGAACAAGGACAACAGAGCAAATTGGCCTCAGCCTGAATCTTAAGTTTACAAACAACTCTGTGATTTTGGTTTACTTAATACATTTTTCTGTGCCTTGTTTCCCTTATTTGCAAAATGGGTATAATCAGAGTAAACCTATACTATAGGGTTAAGAGGATTAAATAAATGAGGAGTTTCAAAAGGTTTGGAACAATGCATAGCATAAAGTATGTATAAATTATTACAGTAATTGTTTCTTATACTAAGTAGTCCTGAATATATGATCTCTTGTGAATGTGATCACACTATGTCCAATGTGAAAAAGCCTCCTCCAAAAGTTCTACCACAGTAAGCTGAATGACCTATTACCTAGTCATCTACTTGTTTATATAAAGCATCTACATTACCATATACATTATACAAGAGTACTTCACATAAGGAGTTTCTCATACCACTGAAAAATTCAGGCAAAGCAAGGCATATTTCATACCTGGATATCACGGTAAGACAGAAGTAAATTAATGATGACATCTGAAGTCATAACCTCAATGTTATCCATGCGAAGTTTGATCATACCCAGCTCCTTCGCCAGTTCATTGCCCTGGTATTTCATTCTGGCTTTGCGGATGTCATTTAACAAGTTTTCTTTGTGAGAAGCACTGAAGAGGGAAATACAAAAAGTCCTGGTTATTTCTAAATGCATTCAAGACTGCCTTTTTTGGTGTTGACCCACACAGTTTTCACTAACATGTCTTAAGCTAACAGCTGCAGAACCCGGCCCAGACATGAGTCTCCCTGAACCAAAAGACTCTCTGACTTTGTTATTCACATCTTGAAGAAATGGACCAATAATTTTAAACATTACATCTTTAAAATTTTCCAAAGTTAAAATATACAGACGACATACAGTACTTTTTACCCAACCTACTTTCTTTTGATATTTTTAAATACATATAAGGCAAGAAGGTACCTTACTTGAATATTTGTTTTCCCCACAAATAATCATAAAGCCAAATAAAATTCTAAAAGCCATGAAACAAGGGGAAATTCACTTTGATACTATCCCTGCCTATTAAGTGTCCCCTTTAGTAGTCACAAAGTTTTCCCTAGTTGAAGGAGAACTGGAACTAGCATTGTGACTCTGCACAGTCCCAAAAGTGCTGCATAGAGGCCATGTAGGTAAACTCAAGGACATCCTCATCTTTCATTCCTTTCCTACCCTTGTCATTTTTGATTATCAGAATGTAAAATATATCAATGTAAAATGCAAAACTTTTCCCAATGTAAATTATAAAATTTCCTTCATGCCGGTATCTAGGTAATAACATTATGTAAAAATACTTACAGCACTATAAATATACACCTGCGTGTCACCATAGCCTAGCCAATGTTAGTACATGATACTTCGTTTAAAAATGAAAAAGTTCCTAATTTAGTATATAGAGGTTGACTTACAATGACCACAGATTTATTTAAATATCTTGTCCAAGTAATTTTAAAACAGATACTGGGCACTACCAAGCAGTAATACTGTCAACTCATTAAGAAGCTGAAAGAGCTAAATGTAGACAGTAAAATTAAGCTGCTGATTAAAAAGAGAACAGGTTAAATTAGCTGTCTCTAGAGAAAGGAAATCAAAACATAGGTTAAGGACAAATAGTACTCATTCTGAATAATTATAAAGCTATGCCATAAAATGTGCGTAAACAGTCTGTTCTAATACTCACAATAGTATCTTGACTACATTTAAACAGTGAAGTGATATTCCACAGAAAATGTTCTGATACGAAACTATCCATGCATTGTCTTAATTTTTATTTCCTTGTTTGTCAACTGTGATTCTAATAATGAGCGAATTAGTAGAGTTTGCCAGTGTTTAAAACTGTCATTAATTAAATGAGTCATTAAGTTGGGTGACAGCCACTGGCCATTTGGTAGACTTAAAGGTATCATAGCTATTGAAGTGTTATTAGTTTAGCCTGATGGGTAAAAAGTTATACTTTAGTCTTGTTTTCAAGGGTAATTCTGAAAAACTGTTTTAATAAATGAACAAATCTAATAAGAACAGTAATCTTTAAGTAAATAAAATCTGACTTGATTATGGCTTAGGGACATCAGAAATGCAATAAACATACAACCATTTCTGCCTCTAGTAATCAGGAAAGATGTTACTCATCAATGTGAACTTGGAAATGGCTTCAAAGCCCTTTTTAGCACCGGACTCAAGACAGACTTTATAAATCAGAGTTATTTCTTGAGCTAAAAAATTACCTGCCATCTCTGCTATAGATATGTTCAACAATAAGCATTATTTATCCTCTCACTAACCATTGCCAGATTCCCTGTCAATCATGGGATAGAATCTACCAACAGACATTTCAAGCCCTTGAAAATTCAACCACATCAAAAAAGTTCTTTTCCTCCTGATACACACATGCTGAAGAGAAACAAACTTGGACCCATTCCTTGCAAAGATGTAACTCATTAGGTAGATTCAAAGCTAGTCTACCTCTTTGTCAGATCCAAAAATAAGGTACTGAAGAATTTTCTCCCTAAATTCAATAAAATGTTTGTTTTGCAATAAGACAAAAGTTAACATGGTATGACTGAATGACGTTTGCCAAGAATGTGCCACAAAAGCTCCATTTGCTTTCTGCATTGTCATCAATGTAAACACATATATCTAGGTTTTCAGTCTTTTCCATGTAAGCTTATAGAAGACATTTTCCACCCAGAGAAGAGGCAACAGAATCGAAAAAGAGAGTAGACTTTAACAAATATGAACCCAACTTAATGACTCGATTAATGACAGAATTTTAAACACTGGCAGACTCTACTAATTCACTCACCATTATAATAACCACAGTTGAAATAAAAATTAAGATGATGCATTGATATTTTTATATCAGAACACTTTCTGTGGGATATCACCTCAATGTTTAATTTAACTGAGGTATTATTATGAGCATTAAATCAGACTGTGCTAAGCAAAGTTAGTTCTTCCAATGATTTGGGATTTTCATTTGTTTTGGAAGGATAAATCTTCCTCCAATGACACAACTTGCAGGAATAAACTCTTTAAATTGGCTGTGAACAAAACAACTGGACCCTTTGGAATAATTATTTGGAATAATTATTGGAATAATTATTTGGAATAATTATAGGAATAATTATTCTGCCTTTAACTTTTATAATAAGAACATTGAATGTACAATTTATCAAATACTGAGGCTCCAGGAAAAGAACTTTTTCAAGGCTACATAGCCAGCAATCACCCAGTCCAGGACCTAAATTCAAACCTACCTACCTCTGAGTGAGCATTTTACCCATTCTATCCCACCTCTCATGTAAATCTAACATGCTACAGGTCAGGATGAATACAGCTAGACTTAATGCTCACAGGCCCTCACAGTACAAGGACTCAAGATCAGAATGACCTTGCCCTGGCATCTTCAGTACTTCAACAACAGAGAGATTATAAAGTTATTTTTAAATATTTTGAAACACAGAATCTCCAAGTTGAAAGAAATCATTTAAACACATCACAGATTTAATTTCCTTGTTTTCTAGAGGAGCCACAGAGAAAAAATATTTACATATTAAGGTCACACGGGGAGTTAGGGTCAGACACAAGCTCAATTCCAACCTCTTTACTCAGTTCTACTCTTTTTTGGCTTTACCTCAGTAACTAAGCTTAGTTAGGAACTAAGTAACTAAGTTTATTTAGTTAAGGGAAATGATGAACATCAGGATGGCTTTTAAATGATTGGCCAACATTTAGCCATCCTAATAATTCCAAGGTGTACTGTCTCCCTGAAACTGAAGGGAAATACTGGCAAGACTCCCAGGGCCGTTGGTGGCTGATGGGGATTACCGTGAAGTCACATGGATGTTCCTGATGAGGTTAATGAACTTGTCCACCAGTGATATGCACACTGGGGCCAAGAAATACTCCCCGTTGGGCTGCATGTACTCCGTGGCTTGCCACTGGGCATCAGTCTCACAGCAAAGGTATTCAGCAGATGGTGTCACAATGTAGGGGATGAAGTAATAATTTCCACTACATACCTGAAAAAAAGAAACCAAAAAGGTTACAGAAAGTTAGTGATGTGAAAGCACAGTTGCAGCTTTGGGCAAATGGGACTTGGTGGGACAAGGAAAAAGATGCATGATTATGAAAAACATCTTGTACAGTATCACTCAGACTTTATTAGGCACAAAACAGAAAACCACTCAGTTTCAAAAGCTCTATCACACAAATATATAACAAAAATTTGCTTTCAAATGATGAACTGACCTAAGCATGTTTCCAAACTTCACTGTCAAAAATGTGAGGGTTTTAAGTCTTAAAAATCATACTGACTCATTACATGCACCCCAAACCAGAGGTAACTTGAACCCATTGACAACTAAGGATTATAATGAGGCATACTGTTTTTCTGTTAGCATTATCAGTATTGGTAACTTAATACATGCAAACTAGTATAAACTTTGTAGGAAACAAGTATTAATAAATATGGAGAGTCTTAGAGATCTTTTGAAAAGGATCTGTTGAACTTTTTGAACCTTAATACTAAGGTAAAACAGTATCTTCTTATAGAATTACAGTCTATGCGTTATGATCTATCACAGAGCATAAACATTTACCTTTAAAAAGCATTAAATCAATGCTCAATTTTCAGCCCATTTGTTTTGGTACCGGGGATTGAACTCATGACCTTGCAATTGCCAGGCAGGTGCTAACACCACTGAGCTAAATCCTTGGCTCCTAAAAATACATTTTCTACATGACATTCTTCTATCACAATGTTGCTATTTCAGGTATGGTAAGAGTACATAAGATACAAAAAACTCAATAAACACAGTGAAGGGACAAGAATCTGCTTAAAGGGGGAAAATATCTCAGGGAAAATGAGGAAAAAGAAAAAGGAAGGGGAAAAAATTTCTAAAATTATATAAATACTTAGCTAAGGTGATTGTGCTACAAATTCTATAGGTTCTTGGAACAAAATAGTTAACATTCATAGGATTGGAACTGTGCACATTATTGTACAGTGATCTGAGGAACTCTTGAAGATCATTATGTAAAATAACAACCCTAGTTACGCTCATACCACCTTGTTTTGAAGGCCTATACTGCCAGTGTTCTGGGCTCTTTGCTATTGTTTTTCCCTCTAATACAGAAAGAATAGATATACATGTAGACTCATGCATGCGTAGAACTTCTAAACAGTTCATGAGAATCAATTATATAATGAACAATGAAATGAACAGCTACTTTGAAGAAAAAGAGACACTAAGGTACCCAGTGCTGATTCCGTAGTATCACGATGTGAAATCCAGCAATACTACTATTCTTTGTTCAGAGTGGTTTTAGTCTGTTTTGTTTTGTTTAATTTCAACATACGTGAAGATATGGACAGCTATTTTGAAGAGAATGAGAGACATTATGGCAGCCATTGTTGACTTCCCTGTGATGCCCCTCTGCCATGCTACCCTGACTTGGAGCTAGCCAATTATGAAATGAAACCTTTACAAACTGTGTGACAAATAAACCTTTTACCTCCTTTAACTTTGAGTGTCCAGTATTTTTTCTCAGCAATGAGAAAAGAAACTAAGATAACAGGAAAATTCTGACCAAAAATTGAATTGCATTAAACACAATCAAATATAGAATTATGAACTAAAATGTGATGTGTTAAAAATATTTTTATGAAAGGTACTTTTCAAAATTAACCCTTAAAGGAAAACTGAGAAAATGGTGCCATCTGCAAGATCATCTAACAGAATAAAATACCCAAGAGTAATTTTAAATTCATGCAAGTGAAAGACTTCTATGCTAAAAATTGTAAAAACATTTTGACAGAAATTAAGGGAGACCTAAATAAATAAAAAGATAGCCAATGTTTGTGGATCGGAAGACTTAAATTAATATGGTGAAGACGACAATAAGAAATCTACAGACACAATACAATCCCTGTAAATTCTCTTTTTTGCAGAAATGGGAAAGCCAACCCTCAAAGTCATACAGAGCTGGAATTACTGAAAACAATGTTGAAAAATAATAAAGTTCGATAACTCAGACTTCTCAATTCCAAAAATTACTACAGCACTATAGTAATTGAAACACTTACATAAGGATACACATATAGATCAATGGACAATTGAAAATTCAGAAACAAACTGTTATATATGTTTGGTTGATTTCAATACAATTGCCAAGATAATGTAATGGAGGAAAAGATAGCCTTCCAGAAAAAAAGGTGCTAGGATAACTGGATATTCACATGCAAAAGAACAAACTTAAATACCTATCTCACACCACATATAAAAATTAACTCAGAATGGATCAGAGACCTAAATGTAAAAACTAAAACTACAAAATGTTTATCTGAAAAACAAAGCAGTAATATTTCCTGACACTGAGTTGGGCTAAGAGTTCCAGACACAACATTAGAAGTACTACCTGTAAAAGAAATGACCAATAAAGCCACTGATAAGGGTCTTTCTTTCAGAATAAAAACTTGTGCAATTCCATAATTAGTACACAACCCAATTAAAATTGGGGAAAAGATTTTAGTATACATCTCACCAAAGATGACTAAAAATGGCTAATAAAACAATGCTGAATATCACGAGGAAGAGGCAAATTAAAACCACACTGAGATACTACTTTATACTCACTAAAATGACTACTATTATTGCTCGAATCTGGATGTTCCCCCAAAGCCTCACATGGTCATAGGTAGGGCTTTTCAGAGGTGGCTGGATCTAGAGTGATGTGATGATTGGATCAATGGTGTGATTCTAGGATTGAGGAAGCTCCACTGTGCGTGTGAGTGCTAGATAGAATACAAGGGACAGAAAAAGGGCTGCTGTCATCACTTGCTGCTTGCTACTTCCCTGATGGCTGCCTTCTGCTTGCCCTGCTTTTCCATGAAATGTTTCTCTTAGGTGATGCCCCTCTACCATACCACCCTGCCTGGGAACCAGCCAACTACAAACTGAAGCCTCTGTAAACTGGGACTACAAAAAAAACCTTTCTTCATTTAACTTCAGGTGTCAAGTATTTGTCTCAGCAATAAGTAACTAAGACAATTTTAATAACAAGGTAATACCAAGCACCGGTTAAAATGTGAAGAAACTGGATCTCTCAATGCTTGTGGAAATATAAATGGTACAGCCACTTTGGAATCATTTTGGCAGTTTCTTAGAAGTTAAATATATGTTTAACATATTATCCAGCAATGTCTAGTCCAGAAAAATTAAAACTATGTGCAAACTTGTTCTTAAATCTATCTATGTAAAAACTTGTTCTTAAATGTTCATAGTAGTAGTATTCATAGTAGCCCCAAAGTGGAATCAACCCAAATGTCAATCACTGGGGAACAGATAAATAAAATATGGAACACTCTTTTGAAAAAAATGTGGACTACCCATACAATAGAGTGCCATTTAACAATTACAAGGATCAAACTACTGATACATATTACATCATGGATGAACTTCAAAGATATCACGCTAAGTAACACAAATCACATGCAAAATACCACATATTGTATATGTCTATCCATGTGAAAGCCTCTGAAAAGGCAACCCTATAAGATAAAACAGATTAGTAGTTGCTTTTCGTCTTTGTTTTTTTTTTAGACAGGATCCCTATTTGCAGTTCAGGCTGGGCCTTGAGCTTGCTTTGTAGCCCAGGCTGATCTTGAACTTGCAATGATCCTCCTGCCTCAGCCTCCCAAGTGCTGGGATTATAGACATGAGCCACCACACCTGGCTTAGTAGTTGCATGTTGCTGGGGGTAGGAATAGGGCCTGTCAGCAAATAGGCATTGTGGCAGATGCAGGAAATGCTCCAAAACTGGACCATGGTGATTGGATGAGCTTAAAATGGATGAATTTTATGACATGTAAGTTGTACCTAAGTAAAGTTTTTTTCAAAAGCCAAAACATGAAACATGAAAAATGAATGTCATCTGAAGAAACATGAACACAAAAGGTGATGCCTTCTTTCCAGACAGCAAAGGATCCCAGAATGGTTATGCATGATCTAGCTTCAAGCCCAGAGACTGAGTTTGTGTCTTTTACATTCCTGTCATCCCTCCTAAAAATAAATACAAATGTGCTCACACTTCTGTCAAATGAAAATGAATTGAATATATCAGGTACAGTTGTAGAACCGGCAAATGACTTCCAGAAGATGTATATATATTCTTAAAGCACTTCAAACATCTGCCTACATGTTCAGGGTGTTGTGTTTTATTTGAATCCCTGATTTAGGGGACGTTAGAATTCATTAGCTATATATATGTTGTATGCATTTTTAACCTTTCAAAAACAATCACAAACTCACAATTCCACCTGATCCTCTCTCAGAAGTTTTGGAGTTCTAAGATCCAGGCCTCCTATTCTAGTATTATCCCAATCTAAATGCAAAGAGCTAGTGAGCAGACTCTCCTTACTCCAATTTACTTTGACATTTTGTTTTAATATTTAATTACCATTAGCAGCAAGCTATCCATCCTGCTGACCCAAACTATTCTTCTATTTGCCCTACTTCCATCCATCTGGCAAGGAAAAAGTACCATTTCCTCACTTTAGAAGGAGAATAACATTGAGGATGACCATTAATGGCATCTCCCAATGTTTATTTCTCTTTAGCATTTTTTCTTTGGTGTTATTATCTATTCTCCAAGTTAACTCATGTACTTTTAAAGATTCTTGTAGATGCTCTAATATTTCACACCTTGCCAAGCATAGTAACCAATACTGGGTACTGAATTCTAATGTAATACCAACTACAATGGAGATTTAGTTGCCAAATTCTGTAGATAAACTCATTCCTAATAAACAAAACACTTAGAAAAATGATGCCAAGGTATGCCTAGAATTGTTATGAACACTGCAGGAATTCCTGGGTTTTTGAAAGAAAAGAGTATACTACAAGGAGAATACAGGTGGAATTATAACAGAATTCATTACATAGTGTTAGAATACTAGAATTCTAACACTTAATCTAGGTTAATCTAGATTAATATTAATCTTAATCTAGGTTGCAGTTTCTCAAATCACAATGCCATAAGTTAATGGTAGACCTATGGAACGCACTTTTCACTTTAGACTGAAAATACTAATGTATGAGTTTTTTTTTTTCCTAAACTAAAATGTCAGTACTCAGGTTTAATTACAATGTTGGCACATTACAATAAATAAATGGGTTTGGGTTGCAGTTTGAATACTCACCTCTAAAAAGTTTGCCATCACTGCCACAAGCCTTTAGGGAAGCAATATGGAGTGCAAAGGCACAGGATAATTTTGGCATAATTTCTGGGGACACGATTTATTTAAATGTTTTTGAGTTACAGTTTCATTATTCTATCAAAACCAGCGTGGTGATATAACTACTCAGTTGAAGGAAATTTTAAGCCAAACAGAAAGACTTTAGTACGTAAAGCATAGAATGAAGAGGAATTCCACCCCATTTCTTTTCAGCTTGTGAAAAAGAACCTTAGGTTTGGTGCCTGTATTAACTGGGGTACAAATTCATGTTCCTCTGTCATCAGGGAAACTTTGGTGGCTAAGTAGGGGAAATATTGGCTCCAACAAAAACTTTGATGTCCCAGGGGAACACAAAACCAGCTCAGGAGAGAGCCCAACAGTTCTAAGCTCAAAGCCCTAGTGAATAATAAACAACCTACATTTTTGCCTGTCCTTCCCTTCTGTCCCACCCTCTCAGTGGCTGAGTGAGGCCTGTGTGGTGCAGGAGTGGAGAACAGGTTTCTAGCTATCTTCCATAAAAACACAACCAAAAGGCAGAATTAAGAATCCCTGGTTCCCTCTGCTATATTCAGGCAAGCATTTAACTAATTTACATTTATGAGGTTAAAAACTTGAAAACGTAATACTTACTATGTGTTTTTGAATTACTATATCCTGAAAAGAAAAAGAAAAAGAAAAAAATGAATATAGTTTTCTGAACAGTTAATTTCCAGAGCCATTAGCCAACATTCCCTTCCAGTCAACTAGTACCCACCTTTGAGAAAGACGTAGTCACTTGAACTCTCCTTACCAAAAACATCATAAACTTCTAAAAATTGTAAAATTCATATTCCAAGGAAAACTAATCATGACTAATCAGCTTTAAACAACAGAGGGGGTACATTTTGCTTCTAAGGATTTTCCTATAGCAGTGGCAATGCCTTTGCCTAAGAGATAATTTGAGATTTAACTTCAGGGCACTGAGTGCTCTGCATTTCACCTTCCAAGAGAAGAATGTCAATGACAAGAAAGTGCCTCATAAGCACTGTGTTACCCCGGAATTTAGAAGCCTTCTTGATTTGATCAATGCAAAGGCTGTAGGTCACAGAGTCAGCCATCCTACCGAGGTGTTGCCAAAGTATTCCTGTCACTCCATTAGAGCTGTCGAGGCATGTTCAAGTTCAATAGCAACTTTATTTATTTATTTATTTATCTGATTTTTGAAACAAGGTCCCCTCTCTAGTTCAGGCTGGCCTTGAACTCATTACATAACCCAGGCCAGCCCTGAACTAGCAGTTATTCTGCTGCCTAAGACTCCCAAGTCCTAGGATTACAGGCATGTGCCACCATTCCTGACTTCAATGACAACAATTTTGTCAGTTAACTTAGCATGACAGTTATTCAGCCCTTCACTATACCAGCTATACACTGAAAACCAGTATTTCTGCAAAAAAGAACAAATAACTGCCCTATAAAATGTGTTTGATATATTGAAAGATGTTATTTTTTCATAACAAAATTAGGCTGCTTTACCTAGTGTTAGATATAAGTGACTACTCATTTCCATGTTAGGAAATATTTGTCTATATCATTCAAAATTAAAACTTATGTAAGTATAGGAATTTTCAGAGGATCTGCTAAGCTACAGAAAGAAAATAAATGTGTCATATTGGGGAAAATTCTAATTTCATGTTTCTCATCAAAAATAATCTCTAATTTCATGTTTTCTAAATTCTAAGTATTACCAAGCATAACTTTCTTAATGAAAACCAGTAAAAGTCACTATCTAAACTATTTGCATAATGCAAAGCATACTAAAAATGCTCCTTTCTCATTGTCATATGAATTACTTCTTAAAATACAATATTGTGCTATGACTATAGGGTAGACATCTATAAAAAGTGTAAATGAGGTGTAACACACAGATCACACATCTGAAACAGGTGATATTTTCCTCAGGAAATAAATCATTACAGAACCCAGAGTAATCTGGTCAATATCAAATCTCAACAAACAAAAGTATCTAACTTTGGCATAAAATTGTACTGCCATATAACTAAGTTTTTGTACTGAAGGAGTTGGACATTTAGAAATACTTGTTAAATTCAACTCTGTAAACCACTGGTCCTCATCCCCAGTTGTACATTTGGGAGGTAAAAACTAAAACAACTTCAATGTTGGGCCCCTAAAGATTGAGACATAATTAGTCTGGGTGTGGCCTCATTCTCTGGGTGATTCTAAAGTGCAGTGGAGGTTGAGAATCACAAACTGATTATTCCTAAAATGGTACTTATAAATGTTCAGATTATTTCTGATGAGAAACATGAAATTAGAAGATATTGAATAATATTAATAGTAGCTGAATTTTGGAATAACTTGTGTTATTTACAGTTTACAAATATAAATTTTTTTTGGTCTTTTTCCTTTTTTATTGGTATCAGGGATCGAACTCATGACTGCCTGCTTGCAAGGCAGGCACTGATGCCGCTGAGCTAAATCCCTAGCCCCAAATATAAATATTTTTAAAGTAGTGTATTATCAAAAACACTTGTATCAAAGTTGCAAAAATACATTTCACAAATTCTCAGTAATGAGTTGTATAGGAACATACAAGTCTTCAGTTTTGCTTTGCTTTCATATTGGAGGAAAAATAAATATTGATTATGTCTATGCTAAAATTATCTAGTCATTTTGGTAACTGTTAAAAGTCTTTACATTATTATCCAAGTCAAGAACTGATTTTTGTAATGTATAGTTTTAGATCAAATTGCTCATGAAGGGATTCAGCGTGGTATGTTTGTGTCAATGGAAACTACTAGGTTCTGTCTTCACTTCCCTAATGAGCCTGGAAGTATTCACATTGCCTGCAAAAGCCCCACTTAGCAAGGATGCTCACACAGCAGCCAAAAGTCAACTATGTGAGCTACAACTTGTAGTGGGAAACAAGCAATTCTCCAACCTCTTGTGCTATGGTTACACTTCAGTTTGATATGTAACTACACTTTTCAAAAAAATTCAAGGAACATACTTGAGAAAATACAATATTCAGGAGAAACACCTTACCTTCAATGACAGAGTAATGTTACTATCAGTATCATGGTAGAGGATCACATTATTAACGATGTCAAAGCTTTCACGGACTCCAAGATGGTAGAAGAGAGAAGGCTGTGTGGAAATGTCACTCATGTTCACAATGGCAATATCTGAAATGAATAAGGAAAGGATGGGGAGAAAGATTGCATTAAGATTACCTTCCACAAACTATGAAAGAAAAGCAGTACAAGATTTTTATTTTGTTTTTGGTACTGGGGATTGAACTCATGACCTTGCATTTGCCAAGCAGGCACTTACGTCACCCATGGCCTTAAATTCTGAAAACAAAAATTCTCTTCACTTTTTGAAGTATAAGGAACATAGTGTCACTTAAAAATTGCTGAATTTTTAACGTTATTCTTCTGACATGCATCATACAGACAAAGATATATTTATCAAGTATAGACTAATTTATGAAGTATAAATACATAATATATTTTGGAATACAAATCCATGCATCCACCATATAAGCCAAAGTCACAATGCAGGAAAACGATGGCACTTGGTAGACACAGAGCATGACAGGTTAACTTATTTTTAAGTGGACAGAACTGATGGCTCCTGAGGGGGTTTGGGAGTATCAAAAATTTTTGGTACAGGGACAGAGGGAATATACCCTTTCCTGTCAGTTTTGAGAAAAGCAGCTTCAGAGTAGGGAAGGGAGGGTAAGCACCTATGGTTTTATTGAGGTTAATTATCAACCACCACCCCTTTTCAAATTAGCTAGAGTATTTCATGATTAATTCATTAGGTTTGTTCTGATTATTCATGTCACTGAAATTTATAATTAGTGTTTAATTTTCTTTTTGTGTTTGTCATTTATGACAATATTTTCCTGTTTTCCTCTTTTTAATTTTCTGCACAATGCTTTTGTTTTTAATTCTATATAAAGCATTCAATTTTTGACAACACATTAAAATAATTTACCTGCTCGGGTATGGTTTATTTTATAATAAAAAAAGAATGGGGTGAAGAAAAGACTGAGTCAGACAGGACATAAAGAAACTTTCTGGTAGACAGCAATGTTCCATATTGAGATGGCATTTTGGATTCATGAGATTCATTGTTTTTCAAAGTTGTACAGATGAGATTTGTATATTTAAATTTATGCATATTTTACATTAAAACATAAAAACTTTAAGAGTCAAGTAGCAAATGGTTAGAAAAAAAGAATGACAGAATGTTAATTGTTGAAACTGGATAATGTACATGATTGAAATTTACCATAGCAAAAATAAATAAATAAATAAATAATAATGGAAAAAAGCCACCTACATCAAATGCTCTTGTTTTAATCTTTTTTCCTTTCCTATTCCTGTGTTTTTAATTCTTCCTGGCCTCTGACCAGTCCTCCTGCAGACCCCAATTTCTGAATAAGCTCTTCTTTTCACCAGGAATCACTGTTCCACTCCATTGTGCTCTGCAGCTTCCTAACTGCCCCCCAACAACAACCAAGCCTCAACAGCCACCAGGTATTTCTGCCAAGTCTCGTCACACTCAATAGCTCAGAGCCTATACAAGGTCCTGGGAAATATGAATTTTTCCAGCCTAGTCTGTAGAAGTTCAACTCTATTTCAACCTGCATTATCTGACTAGAATTTGAACAACATCTCTAAAAATACCCAGTATATAGGTGGCTTTATAAAATGTTTATGACTTACATTCTTTTTTTTTTTTTTTTTTTTTTTTTTTTTTTTTTTGTCTTTTTCGGTACCAGGGATTGAACTGCCTGCTTGCAAGGCAGGCACTTATGCAGCTGAGCTGAATCCCCAGCCCCTATGACTTACATTCTAAAACTGCTTGTAAGCTGACTGCTGGGAACTGAAAATACATTTTGCCCCCCCAAAAATAATATCCAGTCAGTAAAGCAGACCAGCCTGTTGATCTCCATCCTAAAACTCACTCAAGGAAAATGGCAATGCAACAATTCAATGCTACAGCTGCAATGCTTCTTTCATCAAAGGTGCCCCATGTGACTAAGACTTGAAGAAAGTTCCAGGATCACTGCTAAGGGATTAATAGTAATGGCAGCATGAAAGAAAGCAGTTCAGCAAAAGAGCTTCAGGGGTCTGCCAAAAGCCAGGTACAGCAGAAGACAGCAGTCTTGAACAGGAGCTCACACAGCCCAGTTCCTGACAGTGTAATCACTTCTGCATACCAGGCCACCTTCCACACCAGGAGCTCACAGAGAAAAAGGGAACATGGGAAAATTCTGCATTTTTCTCTCAACTTTACTTTGAATCTCAAGCGTTCTAAACATAGAAGTCTTTTTAAAGGTTCTGGAGTTAAGCTGTGCATGGAAGCCCATACCTATAATCCCTGCTACTTTGAAGGTTGAGCCAAGAAGACTAAATTCAAGCTCAGCCTGGGCAACCTAGGAAGACCTTGTCTCAAATTTTTTAAAGGGCTGGGGATATAGCTCTGTGCAAAGGCCCTAGGTTCAATTTCTGGGACCACAATCAATCAATCAACCAATCAGTCAAATAATAGGTATGGGGATGTAGCTCAGCATTCCTTGAGCTCAATCCCCACTGCACAAAAAAGAGTACTCAGGAGCTACCAAATACTTATAATCCAAGTTAATTGGGAAGCTGAGGCAGGAAGACTGCAAGTTTGAGAACTGCTTGGGTAACTCAAGGAGATTTGTCTCAAAATTTTTTTTTGGAAAAAGAGCTAAGTGTAGAATACTAGCTTAGAATGTGCAGGGTCCTGGATTCCATACCTAGCATCACCAATACACAGGAAAAGTGGGGAGTAGAGAGGAGGAAACAGGATGCAAGGTCATAAGGGGAGAGAGGAAGAGGGGTGAAAGAGAGTGATGGAGGGAAGAGAGAGTAGGGGGAGAGTGAAGGAGGAATGGGGAGAAGGAGAGGGACAAGGATACTAAGAGACAAGAAGAGGTGGAAGGGGGGAGGATGAGAGAGAGGCTGGGGAGAGAGGAGGAGGGGAAGAAGGAGGAAAGAAGAGAGTGAGGTAAGGCTGAGCGGAGAAAGAGGAGAGGGGAGATGAGGGGGAGGGAGGACAGATAGGGAGAGAAATGGGGACAGAGGCAGGGGGAAAGGGAGAGAAAGGGAGAGTGAGGGGAGGGGTAGAGGTACTAGAGAAGGGAGGGGAAAGAGAGAGAGGAGGGAAGAAAAAGGGAGGAGTGAGAGAGAAACTGCCTGGGTAACTCAAGATTTGTCTCAAAAATTTTTTCAGAAAAAGAGCTAAGTGTAGAATACTAGCTTAGAGAAGGGGAATGGAGAGAAGGAGGGGAGAGAGGAGAGGGTAAAAAGGAAGAGGGAGGGGGAGAGGGGAGAAGGGGAGAAGGAAGGAGAGAGGGAGAGAGAGGGAGAGGAGGGGGAGGGGAAGGGTTGGGGAGAGGAAGCCTGAGGGAGAAGGAGACAGGGAGAGGGAAAGAGGGAGATTGGCAGAGAGGAGATAAGGAGAAGAGGAGGAAGGGGGCAGGGGAGAGGTAGGCCAGAGGGAGTAGAGGAGAGAGAAGGCAAAAGGAGAGAGGGAAGAGTGTGGAGAGGAAGGAGGAAAGGTAGATAGAGAGGCAAAAAGGGAGAGACAGAGAAAGAGGGAGGGGGAGAGAAGGGAGAGGCAGGGAAGAGAGGGGACAGAGGACAGAAAGGGAGAAGAGGCAGGTAGAGGGAAAGAGGGGAGGGGAGGGGAGATGGGAGAGGAGAGGGGGGAGATAAGGGAAAGAGGGAGAAGGATAAGGGGAGTGGGGGCAGGAGGAGAGGGAGGAGCACAGAAAGTGGGAGAGGGAGAGAAGAGAGGGGCAGCAAAGATCAGAAAGGGAGCCCGATAGGAGGAGAGGGGGAGTGGGCGAGTCAGGGAGTAGTAAAGGAAGGGACAAGGAGGAGAGAGGTGGGAAAGCAGGAAAGAGGAGAGGGAGAGAGAAGTGAATGAGGGAAGGGAAAAAAGAGGCAGGGAGAAAAGGGGGCAGAGAGAGCAGCGGGGGTGGGAGAGATGGGGGCAGGGAGAGAAGGGGCCTGGCAGAGAGGGGGGTAGTGGACATGGCAGAGAGTAAGGGGTAAGGGAGAGGGGAGACAAAAGAGAGGGAGAGAGGAGGAGGAAAGGGAGGGATAGGGGAAGAGAGGGGGAAATGGGGAGACTTGAGAAAGGGAAGGGCAGGGGCAAGGGGATGGAGATGGAGAAGGACAGAGAGGAAAGGGGAGGAGGAGAGGGAAGAGGAGGAGAAGGTGGAGGGGGAAATGGAGACAGATGGGCACAGAAAAAGAGGAAAGAAGGTGGCAAGAAAGTAGAAGAGGGAGCAATGGGTGACTAGGCGGTGGGGAGAGAGGGGGCAGGAAGGTGGTGAGATGAAGGTAGGGAGGGGAGTGGGAGAGGAGAAGAGAAATGGAGGGGAAGAATGGGAGAGGGAGAGATGGAGAGAAGGAAGAGGGAAGGAGGGGAAGGAGGGAAAAGAGGAGAGGGGGACACAGGATGAGGAGGTACAGGGTCAAAGGGGGGTGGGAAGGAAGGGATAAATAGGGGAGGGGGAGGGAAGACAGAGGAGAGAGGAAAGATGGTGTGTGAAAGGGAGGGGAGGAGAAAGAGGAGGAGAGAGGCCAAGAGGGGGATAAGGAGGATAGAGGGAACAAGAGGGAGGAATCAGAGGCAGGGGAGAGGGAAGAACTGGGGGAAAGAGAAGAAGGGGTAAAGAATGGGGAGAGAGGGAAATGGGGAGGGGCAGGAAAGAGTGGAAGGAGAGGGGAGCAGGGAGAGGGGAAGTGGTGGGGAGAGACTGAGGGAAAAGGAGGAAGAGAGGAAAGTGAAGGAGGGGAAAGGGGAAGAGGATAAGAGAGGGTGAGAGGTGCGGGAGTGAGAAGAAAGCAGAAGGGCAGCAGGGGACAGACAGAGGAAGAAACAGGAGGGGAGGCAGAGGGAGGGGAGGGAATAGTGGGGGAGGGTGGGGAAATAGGAGAGGGGAAAATAGGAGCGAGAGAGGAGAGGGCAGGGGAGAAGGGCAGGAGGAGTGAGGGTGGAGGGGAGGGGAAATGGGGGACAGACTGGATGAAAATGGGGGAAGGGGTAGGGAGGGAGAGAGAGAGCAGTTGGGGGGAGAACAGAAAGAGTGTTGAGAGGAAAGAGAAGGTGAGAGGAGGGAGAGAGGGAGGAG